TGTTTCAGATGCAATGTAGAGCACAGTAATGGTGTGTTAAACACGGCTCCTTGGAATAATAATTGATTTCCTAATTTAGTTCTTTATTTTAAATGACATTTAAGCTGAAAAGCATTGCGGTTGAAATGTGATCGTGTTTATGCGCAATCACTTGTTCCCAATGCTTCAATACTGAACTTTAGTCAATGCTTGTCAACTGTGTGTGCGTGTGTGCGTGTGTGTGCGTGTGTGACGCTCGAGTAGAAAGTCAAGTAAACATCAAGCAAGCATTATAGAACAAAGTCACACAGTATCTGAGACCCCTTTGAAAAGGTACTTGCGTGTGAGACTTTTGTAAAGCCTTGAGGGGAGCCAAGCTTTCACGGTAAGTGCCGTTCACTTTTTAAAAGATTTCACTCAAAAGCAGTGTGGCTTTTTCCTGTGTTGTATTAAGACATGAAAGACGTCGTTGCCCCCATTTATTGTGCCCGTCTATAATGTACTGAGCAGTGTGCCTTTGCCTCTGGAAAGATCCCACCAGCTGCTTTAATTGAATATATGACACTCGTTTTCACCAGAATGGACCTTCTGGCCTCAGCTCTTGTCTCGTGTCAGTTTCCCTGACAGAATCAGTCCGAGGCAAATCAGCACATCGCATTAACTTAATTATACATTTTGTTAAATGTATTATTCACAGATTAATTCATCACAGACGGTTTGTTGTTTCACGGAATATTAACCTTAGAATGAGTTTCCATTTTCTTTGTATACTTTGATAGATTAGTCTTATGAATTATTTCTTGCCGCTCTAAAATTCATTTTTAGAAAATGATTCTCCGCACGGCCTAATGGAGCAATTTGGAGCTCTTTGTTCCGTCAGCCGTCCTTCAAGCAGCGGCTCTCACTTCCCTTGCACTCTGTATCCAACTTGGCTTCCTTTTAGACGGCGTCCCGCTGCGCCGACGACACCCAGACATAAATACCTCTTTTCGCCAGAGCACTTTCCATCTCCCCGTCTGACCTTCTTTCTCCCCTCTCGCTCCCCCGATGTCTTTCTCTCTTCGACTCTCCCTTTTTGTATTTCCATTCACATCGCTCTCCTTCCTGCTGCTGTAAAGAGTTACCTTTTGCCCCCTTTTGTCTTTGTCTCTTTATGTTTCACCTCTTTTTTTTTCTGCGAAAGAAAATGTCCTCGGTCGCTCCTCTCCTCTGGTTGCTAACGGAGGCACATCTTCACACTTATCCTCGATCACACTTTCCTCCCAACCCTTTTCAGTTTTTCCTTTAAATTATTCATATACCTGGCCAAACTTACTAACACTTTGGAGATTTTTTTTTTTTATCAGGCCATTTATTGAATGGAAGGCGCAGTGTCAAATCCCAATACCCAAATAAAACTCAAGCAAACATGAATTTATATTATCATATTTTCGTGCTGTATTGGAAATGTTTGCCAGTATGAAGAACAGAGGTCTCTGTTTATTTCTATTCCGTTACTGCTTTCACTCATTTTTGTTTAGCCTACACAACCATGTTAATAGTGTGTTAAACACGGCTCCTTAAAGTTAAATTACTGTCCTTGATCATTATTGTGATCATTTCGTTATGCTGTTCATGTTTTATGTTCTGAAATTAGTGTTGAGACTCAGTACCATTAGCTTTGTGGAGGTCTCTTTTGAATGGAAAGTGAGATGTCTTTTAAGCTTTGTTCTAAAAAGGCAGCTTTTAACAGCGTGTTTACCTGGGGGGGGGGGGCGGACAGTGGGTTCAGCTTGGGAAACATCCCGTGCACGAAAAGAACCGGGCAGCTCAGCCTGGTTCAGTGAACAAAGCGAAGAGAAGCTCTGATTACAACACAAAAAGAAGAGCAGCTTCCATCTCTTCAGGTTGCAAACTTACAAACATTGTGAGCTCTAGTTGGAATATTGGGGAAAGAGCCTTTTAAAGAAGTACATACAAAACTACAAAAGTCAAAGAATATTAATTAATTAATTTCTGTTAATATCATTATACAGTGTTTCCAGGTAAAGATTTGTTATTTCTTTTTAAAATCAGATTAGAGTATGGTCCAAGGCTTTGTCACCACTTTCTCCCCCACTGACAGAAAAAGTTAACTTTACCCACTGAGTAGTTCTAAGTTGTCGTAGTATAACAGTTAAGCGAGGAAGGAAAGAGTACAACAGCCTTAAAGGCTTCAGTTAAATAAGTTGCATTAAATAACAACATATGGCCTCACAAAGAGCCCGAGAAACTGGTTATTACCAATTACAAATACAACCCTTAGCTTTTGGACGGCCTAATGAGAGCTAACAGGAAACAAAAGAGGACCGAGATAATGATTATATGTAACGTTACGTATAAATGGAGAAAGCCTAAGATAATGATTATGTCACGTGAAAGACGAGTAATTAATTAAGGTCAATTCAGGTGGCGACCTCGGAGTCAATTTTGGAGCCAATGCGGAAGCACCTGCATTATTTATAGCCAGCAGGGGGCGACTCCTCTGCGTGCAAATTATGTCTGACTGTATATAGAAAAGACAATGACCCTCATTTTTACTTATTCACTCAGTAAACATTGTATTGCACAAATATATATTCCCAATCGCTCATTTCAAGTCGTCCTCAATACAGCATGGTGTTCATTTCAATTATAGTCCATTTAGAGAAAAATAAAGCAGATTTGCTGTAGGGCGGGGCTACCGTGTGATTGACAGGTTCACAAGATTTATTTCGACTGCAGAACAACAAGGACAGATTTCTTTGGGGAAATTAGTAAGGAATCTTTCTCTGCGTTTGTTTGTAAGATAAATACTATGAGAACTCTGAGTTGTATTTCTCATGAGCATTAACCTGATCTAAAATATAATCAATATAATCATTTCATAATCAAGCGTTTACGGTTTTGAAATGAATAATCTGATGCTTAATCAATAAGGAAACCAGTTGTTAGATGTGCCCATAGTTTGTTATTCCTCTGAACACCACTGAAACCACAGTACTACAGCATTAGTGATAATATCATAAGTGAATAATACCACCTGGTGGATTTTCAATAATAGGTCATTAGCCTGATAAACTGTTCTACTACTTTGCTGCACCTAAAGCTATTCTGTAGATCCAGTCAGAGATTTAACTTATCGTTTACCTTTAATAGGAACTCATTTTCAGCATTATTCATCACTCAAGCATTTTTTTTCCACCTTAAGGCATGAAAAATCTTATTTCTGTCCACCACACAACTCCGGCTCTCAGCAGGAGGGCCAGAGTGCTGACCGCCACCGTGCAGCGATTACCTCGGCAACATCTTTACAGAAACTGAAAATCTCTGTGTGACTCACAAAACAGTTTCCTGCCTCCATTACCGCCGCCGTGAGCCCCGTTTGCACCCACACACGGCCTGTTGGCCTCTGGGACCCACAGACGACACCCGCTGGGTTTCTGTTGGATCAGAGCAGCGAGAAACGTTATAGAAATCCTTTGAAAAAATGCGCTGTGGACAAAGAGAAAGTGCAGATTCAGTCTAAATGCAACTGTGAGTCATGCACGTCATTTTCACATTTTGTGATCCATGCAGCATTAAAGCAAAAAGAAAAGAAAAAATGAGATTGTGTCTTCCTTTGTCGTAGTTGTGTTGCACTGCCCTCCACAGTACAAAGTGTGAAACTTAAAGAGTGGCTTCTCACAGCAGAGGCCTTCTGTGCTCTATGTTCTTTGACAATTAGTACTTTTTAGCTAATAATAGTTTAAATTGAATTGTGTTATCTGGCTTGTAGTCCATTGTCTTACTGTCTGATGTTATGCACCAACTGCCATGTCAAATTCCTCGTATGTCTGACAAATTTTGGCACTAAATGTTGCTGATTCCTGATAAGGCCAATAGAAAGGTCAATAGGACAATAAGCCCTGAACCAGCACTACACCAATATGACTTCATCTGATATCAAAATTTTACTTACTCTTCTGATTTTATTCATACGTTCTCTAATACACTGTACAAAAATTCTTCGATAACCAGGTATTATTTTTTTCAAACGACCACAAGCTGAAAAAAGACGAAGAATCTGAATGAGGTTTATTCGTGCGGTAAATTCATGATGGCGTTCGTTTAACTTGCAGAAACAGTCCATGAATGTCGTACACAGTCTATGGTGTAACGTCAAGAGGTAACAAGGTCAAAAGATGTAGCAACTTGGGTTGTTTTATAGACCAAATGATCAACCGAAAAAAACAATCAGGACATTAGATTTTGTGTTACGGCCTCCTCATTAAAACGGGCGTAGAGCAATAAGACTCCGATCGCTTACGCCAGATGTAACTTTTAAATGTGCGGCAGATGCTGCGCGTGCGGCCTTTTAACGACTTGCCCGCATCGTGAGCCATTCTGTCCAATAAGCCCACGGAGACACGGGCCGGCAGAGGGGAATTCTTTCTACACACGCAGTTGTTTGATTGGCAACGTTACGGCCGACAGGACTAACAAGAAACACACGGGGTGCAGTCGCAGCGCCAGGCAGCAGATGCGGCATCACCGAGCCACTGGATGGGAAACAACGGCGTGCGGTTACCTCACAGACGTCTGCACGTATCGTCAGATCATCGCAGCAGGGCTCATTACGTTACACTACTACGCGAGGGGAGGTGATACGATCCTACTCCGGATTATCACACATGGCGGCTTTAGGGCGCGTTTGAGGCTCACGCGCTTGTGGGGCTGCAACGAAGCTGTGAACAAATCACAGCAGCTGCACCGACGCCAAAGAGCCAATGAGTACAGTGGGAAACTGCAGCGGGTTTCATCGTCTGAAGCAATGCTTTTTGGATGAATGTGAGTGAGCCTCCATCAAGCAGATCGTTAAATGCAATGTCATTCTGTGTATGTGCACCTGGAGGGGAATAATGCCACAGGATGGCGTGTTATCACACATATTTAGCTCATGAGAAGGTTTCTCTTTGGTTGATCACTTTTGGAGGAAAAAGAAAAACGACAAACCTGGGAAAGTATGCAGTCAAACATGCAAGTCACTTTTCCTGTGCGCATTTAATTTGTGCCAGTTTCCTTTTATTTTAAAAGTTGACAGGAAACAGTGCAGAGCAACGGTGTATTAAATGTTATGCTACCTGGTGAATGTGTGTTCGCACCACACATGATGGGATAAACACTTTGTTATAAAAATACGTTTTGACACATTTGCTGGTGCTGAATGACAATTTAGTACTTTCATTTTGATGCAGCTACATAACTTTACAGACACCCTGAGCCGATATGCTATAGTTATCTTCCAGATTACCAAAAGTACAGAAATACCATCCAACAGATTTCATGTTCGTGTGCATTTAAAGACTAAATGACTGATTCTTTTTAATAACAGCACTAAACCTACACATAAAAACTAATTCTGTCAAATAGTAGTGAACAAAAGTAAACCGTACACACAAGGCACAAGTTCAAAGAACAATTATTCAAGACAAAACACCTCAGTGACAGCAGAGCAGCTCAGTATGTGGTAGTAAAAAAAATGAAAGACAGACCATTAACAGACACGTCACAGTTGGTGCAAGTATTCAGAACAAGGACAGTGAAGGCGAGCGCCTTAAAGCAATAGTATTCAACACGACAATCGGAAACAACTGCTATTGGCTTGCAAACGCCCCATTGAATGGTACAGATGTTTTTCCATAAGAGCTTTGTGAGTGAGGGTCTGCCAGCCACCACCTGCTACAACCCCACCCCCTTTTTATTTTTCTTTGATTTTCATGATGTGTCACTTGGCTCTGTGCATCAGCCCCCATAAGGCAAAGATTTAAAAGTTTCCATTTATTTCATACAGGGGCAACACCGTCATAAATACAGAGCAGCTCACCGGTGCAATAAGAGCCAGTCAAAAGGATTTGTGTTAAAGTAAGGCATCAGGATAAGCTCTTATGGGGAAAGGAAATGGATTAAAATGGGCTAGTTAATAAATGACTTATGCGGCTTTTCATGCACATGACAAAAAAAAGAAAAGAAGTGTTAAATGCAGATGTACAGGATCATTTAAACTAAGCAGCAACATGTCACTTAAAGCCGCACCGCGATGTTTCAGTCAAACTTCATTTAGGATCCAGCCTTTGACCCGAGCCTGATCCAGGAAACACTCCGCAAGAATTACTGAAATGTTTGTACAAGTTTCACTCCCCACATCTTTTAACAATTGTTCTAAAAAAGCTGGAACATTCAAGCAGGTTGAGCCAGTTTGACAGAATTTTCAAAAGACCGTAATCTGACCGCTGTTATCACATGAGGAAGTCCTCCCCTGAAGAGACGGGTGACGGGTTCTTTTTTGTTTTTCCTTCAACGCATACTCCATTCCACAACCAGTGTTCATAAATGTCTTGGTCCTTCTTCAGGTGCAACATGATCAGCCCAAGTCACAAGTCACCTACCACACAACGGTTTGGTAATGTGACAGCAAACTCCTCGGTTCGATGAGTAGAGCTGTGGCAAGTAGGACTGATCTTCCAAGGACTCTAAATTACTCTCCCTTTAGGCTTTTTGGCTAGGAAGAGGGCGACGGAACAGCAAGATGTGTGGCTCTGAAAGAAAGTGAACAGCATATAAATATAGAAAATTATTCTTCAGAATCAGAACCATTTTCTTAAAATATAGTATTCAGCATATCAGATATTGAATCAAGCACAGAGGGGATGTGAAAAAAAACAGGAAAACTACAGAATGGGGGGAACCGTCACATTGTGAATGGGGAAACATAGAGGGCGTGGCTTAGTGTGACACCGTCATAATAAAAAAGGTGCAACTCCAACAGAGCTTCAACTTTGAATCGTTTTGTTCCTGCTTAACATGTGACAACTGTAAAACATAACAGTGGCCTGTAGCATTCCTATGTACAGCAATTGCTGGTGATTAAAAAAAAAACTAACGTTACACTTTATACACTTCAGAAGAACGTTTACATCGTTCGCCACGTCAGAATCCCGAATGCACATGTGATCATACAGCTTTGCAGCCGCCTGCTCGTGGTGACACGGTAGAAATACCTGGCTGGTGGATCATGTAATGCACCCATCCCTGGCTCTGCTGGACGCCCAGGTTCCTCCACTCGGTCTCCGACATCAGATGGGTCTTCGGTACACGCTTTGCAATGTCCTTGGGAAGCATCACATGCCTGTCGAAAAGTAGAGTAGATAATGACTGGTCAGATCAAAATGACCATGACGTGGCGAGTTATAAACTGCCGACGGGTTTGTAAAAAATGTCATCTGGCGAAGGAGGTTATAAAATAACGTTAACAAGCAGGTAAAGTCAAATAGAAGCAGAATAATCACGAGTCGTACACACCTGTACTCGTATTTTTCGTCGTCATATTTATCAGAGTAGTAGATCTGTTTGTGAGACATGGCGCAGCCCTGTTGGAAAGATGTTAACATCAGTGAACATTCAGTATAAAAACATCATTTCCCCGGAAAACGTGACATCCAGTTTGAGCTTACCTCGCTAAGTGAGTGTGGCTAACAGCTAAGCTAACGTAACCGGAGTTAGCCGAGAACAAGCGTTTATCTTTGACAAGTTACGTAAAGGCCAAGCTACCTGCGTAACACAATGGATCGGGATTTAAAATTACCTTGTTTGATTGCCAAAGAATCCCGAGTAGAAAAAAACTATTATTCCAGATTTGTATACGTTCAGCAGTTGCAGGATGTTCTTCCCTCTTTGTTTCCCTCTCGAATGTTTGCTAGCCCGCTTTCCACCGTTCAAATAGACCTCGCCCCATCCTATTGGTCGAGCCACCTGGTGATCTCTCTTGCCATTGGTCTGTTCCATTTGTCGCATGAAAAACACGACATCCCTCAGCGGTCTTCTAATTGGTCGGCATAATAGCCCAATGTGTATTCCCGAAAGTATAAAACATAAATCCACACACAACATTATATGACCACTGACCCACATTCTTTTACTCTATGTTACGCCATGTTTACTTTCATGGTTTCTAAAATAAGCCATGAATCAAATAAAGTTGTCATCAAAGTTGACAGTCTGTTGCATGACAACACAATCAATTATTATTTTTTAATAATTCTATGTCCTTGGGTAGCTAATCACAGCCAACTATGGACAATTCTGCCTACACGTTAATGCATCATAAGAAAAATCTTTATTATATATTTAATTTAATTTTCATTTGATGATTCAATTTGATTATAAACGGTGATATTGTTTATTATTTTCCAGAGGTAAATAAGTTAAATCGTTCTATCATATTGTAATTTACATATGAAATCATCTATCTGGAATGGATATGGATTCCATTTTTCTTTAACGGTGTGTGCTTCTGCTTTCACACATACACGAGAGCTAGAATGTCTCGTTTACATATTAAACTGTATACAGACTCGGCAGCAAAACGGCAGCAGGATGATGAAAATGATTGCTGAACTGGAGCAATCGGAGTGGAGGGGAAGTCCACTCTGGTAAGTACCGCAGTTCAAATATAACTGTGCAGACGTGTCAGTGTGCGGCTGGTCCCGGTAGCCGCTCCCTTCTGCGCACACGCACATATATATAGATGCACACGCGTGCATCTGAAGGGTTCGGCTCACACGTGAAGTTGTATTATTGAGGCCCAGGAGAAGGATCTGTGCTCATCACCCGCCACTCTCACCTGCGAGCGTCAATCAAGCCGGGCTGCGCGTCGTTCCCCACCCCCCCAAGACTTCACCCGTCTCTCCGATTGGCCCGGCCCTGGTGCGGGGGCGGGACCTCTGTAGCATGTGCTGAAATTCCATTGGACGAAAAGTGCCGTGGCTGACGTGACGCAGCTTGGAATTCCCAAAGTTCCCAAGTTCACGGGAAGAGAGGAGCGTTGTTGATGCCACCAAGCAAAACGTTTTGAGAGGGGGGAAAAAACAGCGAGCGGCTGCGGTGTAAACCAGTTGGGTAAATGACGCGTCTTCTTTGCGTTAAATCTGAGGTCGACGAAGCGCTCGCGACGAGCTGGGCCTTTAAGGACGCGGGGCAGTGGGAACAGTCCGCCGACCGTCCTTTGTTTACCATTAAACTCTGAATGTGCTCGCGACAGAAACTCGAGCCCCTTTAATTGCGTTTCCCCCACGTGTGCTTAAGCAGAAGCCCCGCGCGCACGTGAGTATTAACCGGGGTGTGCAATGAACGGCTCGTGGCTGTGATTTTTTGGGGGGGCTCGATGCGAATGAACGGTTGCCCGCAAATAACAGCGGCGACGAAGACAATCCGCTGGTGCCCGTTTGTTCTGCACGAGCGCTCCTTTAAGCTGCGCAGGTTACGTAACTCGTCTCAGCGACGGGCTGTGCTTTAACCCGTGCGTGTTTGCGGGGAATTGGGTCCCAAACGCCAACGTTGAATGCATACTCACATCCCCATCAGAACCAGAATGTGTACGATCGCCATCAAAATGACACACAACGAACCACCGTTTCTTTTCGTTTTGGCTTTTCCTGCCCGTCCAATAGAAGCCGTGCGTGCCGATGCATCGGACGTGCTCTAATGAAGACACTTTGTTTCTGTCGTCGTCTGCAGAAAAATCCTTAACGCTGAGTGCGCACCGTGCCGTGCCGTGCCAAATTAATCCCAGACGAGGGCGATGTCTGACAGCAGCAACAGCACAGGCAGCAGCGGCTCCTCAAGCAACAGCTGGACCCTCCTCTCCCCCGAGGTACGACTCCAAGCTCAAACGCTCTGCATGACCGCTTATTATTCGGAGGACAGTTATTTTCTCTGCTTGTGTATACATGTTTAAAACATGTAGCGTGTCTGCACTTGGCCCCTTGAAGCTATTATTCATGCACAGCTGGACATTAAAGACCAAATACTTTTTATTGTAAAAGGCAGGTGATCCTGCTCTGTTAGCTGAAATACACCCAGCAGTTAATCTTCCACAAAGTCCAGGCCATACGTTGTACCTTTGTCGAGGTTACAGTGTGTAGCGTGAGGCAGTTCTTTGCATTGTGCTGTGCATGCACGCCCGTGTGGGGGGGTTGCTGTAAATGTCAAGGGCCGTGTTCCCAACGAGGGTACCGTGTTAATGTGAAAGTTTGTAGGAAGCTTGATGTCAGTGGGTCTTCTGGCTCCGCAGGAGGCTGCCGTTGAGAATGTCGGACCAGTAGACGACGGTACGGAGAGCCTGGGCGACGCCCCGAGTCTCTCTGAGGACGTGACAGGTATTGGACGTGTCAAGATCTTTGGCATCTGGCTAGGGTTGTGACATACATCTACATTTAAGGCAAAACAAATACATTCCGTGAATGTTGTTTCAGGAGCGGCTTCAAGTGACATTCCAGTAGAGACTGTCCTGTCCGAAGAAGGCCATCAGGTTGGTACATAACAAAATATGAAATAAACCAGACAAGGCACACATTATACTATTAAACAACATCCAAATTCCACCACCTCATTTTCACGATGTCATTACCAGGTTTTGGTAATGTTGTTGTTTTTTAAATGTTGTTTATTTTACTTATCATACCTCCACGTCCACTATGAATACATTTCCTCATAAGCTCTGTCTACACTCAGCCCTTTGCACCCAGTTTGAGGAACCACGGGGGGGGGGGGGTCATGTGACCAGTGGAGACACACTGAAAGTAGCCTCGGTAGAATACGATGGGTTTTCTGTTAAGTTACCGGAAAACTACCTCAGTCTAGTTACACCAACGCACCTTTCCCTAATATTATCGAAGCAGCAGAGACCTGATCTCAGCACTCTTTAACACCTTGATTGCAGTCACAAAAAATATGATTCCGTATTCACAGACAACCTCCATGTTTACTGTTCTTATTTACAGGTGTGTCAAGAGACCGACCCGGAGTCCAGCGAGGGTCTCGTCCCGTCTAGTCTCCTCACACCCACCCTCCTGGATCCTCCAGAGCCGGACCTGGAGAGTCAGCCTCCAGTCATCCACGACATCGTGACCAGCTCCCCGAGCGACAACGAGCACCTCGAAGCCACGCCCTTTGTCACCAACATTGATTCTGGGGCTCTGCTCGATGTTCCCGCCGATGATCTCGCGGCGGATGAGCCTGAGGAGCCCCGCTCTGCTCCTCCTCTGGCGGAGATGCCCGGCGATACAGAACAAGTGCCCGACCCGGATGCTGACTTGGTGCCGGGTCCCGTCTACACTACTGAGCCCGAGGTCCACGTCCCCACAGAGACCCTTACGGCCACTGACCCCGCCTCTCGTGTCGACTCTGGTATCAGCTCCGTGCCAGAGAGCACAGGGCCTCCGAGCCGGGTCCCAGAAAGCCTGGGGAGACAGAGCCCAGTCCATCAGAGTCCTACACCACACACTGTTGGTTCAGTGGAGGAAGAGGAGAAGGAAGGAGCGGTGGAGGAGGAGGAGGAAGCGGTAGATGAAAAGGAGGAGGTGGAGCTTTCCGAGACAGTGAACCAGCATGAGGGAGAAGAAGAAGAAGAAGAAGAAGAAGAAGGAGAAGGTACGGGATAAATGTACATGAATATGTAGGATGTTGCAGGTATTCCAAATCAGGTATTGGAACTGGAATGAGCTTTCCATCACCATCCTTCCCCCTTTAGATAACAAAAAATCATTATTGACGTGATTATTATTGTAATTGTCTTATTAAGACTTTAATGACATAAGTACATTCAGTAGAACAAAACATAGTTAGCATTTGGAAATGAACAGCAATGTTCTGAAGTAAAATAGATTTTTTACTTTGTGCCGATAAACACAACATGATTTAAGAATATGCAGAATGTTGCCTAAATATAGATTTTGACAGATAATCAAGCAGGGCCCGTTTACCCCCTAAACAAAGTGTGACTTGGTTGTATGACCATGAACCGACCACAACGCGGTGGTTTTGTGGGGCCCTGTAAGATCTTAGGCCGCGCTCGTAACGCCTCGAGCAGCAGCGTGTGGTTGGCGGCTCTTTGCTATCAACCCCAGTCAGTAGAAAGCGACAATTGGAGGAGAAGATTTGGTTAACGCGTGTCTCATGCGTCAGGCTCGCATGTGGAAAACGATTCATCAGCGCGGCGTCAGTCCCGCTGAGAAAAAAAAGGAAATTGCTGTTGTGGTAATTTAGTGGGAAAATGTCATGTATTTCCACAAATAGCACCAACTTTCTTTAGTGGGGTTTTTTTTTCTTCACAAACCGTTTACCCGCCGTTGTGTGGTACAGTTTGTGTCTTATGTTTTTGTATTTGCTGTGAGCCAGTCTGCCAGGAGATCATTATTATGACGAGGGACTCCCGGCCACATTGGAACACATTGGCTGTCTCCCATCACCATTCGACACATTATAAGATGTGACGGCCCCCTGATGTGTTGCAGTTGATGTTTCATGTTCGCCGCGTCTTCTTGTAGAACCCTCCAGCGGTTTCGATTTGGGCGACACAGGCGGCTTCGATGATGGACCGAGGAGGAGGAACGCCCCGTCCTTCGAGTCGCCGAGGCCAAGAACATCCGATGACGACGACGAAGAGGAGTTGGAGTTCAAGTTGGCAGAGAAGAAGAAGGGGGAGGAAACGCCCTGGTTCTCATTGAACAAATGCATTGTGGGTTCTCTGATCCTGCTCTTCTTGGGTTCCCTGTTCCTCTCAGGTGAGTTCCTCTCGCACATCACTAAGCCTGCTGGCCTGCTTCTGCTTTTCATAGTTCAACACAGTTGGCGGCACTACTTTGGTCATCAATAGTAAGACTGAAATCATGCTCATAGCTCTGTATCTGTTGCTGTATCCACAACATATTTGCTCATTTGACATTGCCGGTATTTACAAATGACATGAGCTCATTCATTGGCAGCTGTCTGCAGTAGATGGGTGTTTTTGTTTTTAGAGCTTGTCGACTAAGCCGCACAATGTCAACAGGTCTCCTCTCTGACCCGGATAGCTGTCTAACACTCAATAGCTCGTCCGAGCGCTCATCTGGCCTGACACTTCCTGCAGCGGCAGCAGAAAGTGTCAGATAAAGCGCGTTCTGAGTTGTACAATAACACTTCATCATGTCAGCGTGATTCGAAAGGACTCGCTGGGTGCTTCAGATGAGGAGAAGCTCCTTGGTTAGATTCAATGTCTCTCACTGTTTTGTTGAATGAATAGTTGTTGCGTACAGGTATTGACAAAGGGGGCACTTCACAACAAAAGCACGTGTCACAGATGTAAGACAGCCTTTCAGCTGCGTGTCAATGGGACTCCCTGTGTTAAGACTGCTGTGAGAGATCGTGAGAGTGTTGTTTTCTTCTCTGACAGGTGACTTTGACGCCTCTGAACTCGGTGATGGAGAACAAATCCAGGTCTGTTCCCGCCGTCTCTCACTCTCTGCGTTTTGTGTCTACGATGTCGTATTTAAGAAACTTGAAGTCTTGGAACTTAGAAGACACGTGTTTGAGGTAGGATTACTTGAAAATATGTTTTAGTCATTTGCCAATGATTTTCGATCCAGGGCTGGCTTAGCGGTGATCCACAGGATATGAAAGAACTATTGGATAAACTCACACAGGAAAACCAGCAGATCGCTCAGCTAGAGGCTCAACTACAGGTCAGCGTTCCAGTTACACTGATTGTAATGAGGTTGTTTCCCCCTTCCATGATGTTTTAATGCACTGCAATATATATATACTCAGCGTTTTTTCTTTTACAAATGTTATGGATTCTTGTCCCGAGATGTGCACAATCTGGCTCTGGCTGGGACGCTTGTCTGCATCGGTAACGCCGTCATTTCTCTCTTAGTCTCAGAAAGAAGAACTGGACTCTGCGCTGACGGCCGTGGCAGCAAGCGGTGACGAACAGGAGAGAGCAGATCTGGAAAAAGAAAACGTCAAGCTGAAGGAGGAGCTGTTATCTCTGCCTGGACTGAAGCAGGAGCTGGAGAGCCTGAGGTCCAGAGTGACCGAACTTAGCAAGCTCTCAGGTGGGACGAGAGAAATGTAACATCGTTGAATGAAATCCGTGCTGGAAGATTAAAATGCACGGTTACTGTGATATCAAAATGAAGTGCCGTGTTCTTTAGAGTGCTGATCTTTTGAACTTTCCCGTATAACTGACTTCCAAACCCATTATAACTTTGACATCTAAAATCCTTCACAGCCGATCACGGAATGCCGCCTGCTACCACGAGCTCTGCCCCTCAGCCCGGTGACAATGCCAAAGCTGCTGGACTTGAAAGGAGGGAGGACACCAATGAAGGAGGAGGATTGAAGGAAGAACTCCAGAGGCAGAAAGGCCTTCTGGAGGAGAGCAAGAAGAGACTGCAAGGGATGAAGAAAGATGGAGGCGACGGGAAAGTGAGGGATAGCTTGGAGGACGTCCAGAAGAGGCTCTCTGAACAAGTTGAGAGGTGGGGTACGAAGAAGCCACAGGAGTCCAAAAGGAAAGGGAAGAAGGGCAAAAGCAATGAGCGGGACCACTGGAACAAAGAGGAAAAGAAAGAAGTGAGAGGGGAGAAAGGCTGGAAGCACGGCAAAGAGGGAGAAGGGAGAGCGAAGGAGGAGAAGAAAGAGAAGGAGCAGAAGTCTCCCAAGCCAAACTCGCACAAAGAGGCCTGGACGAAACACCAGGACGAGTGGGAGAGGAAGAAGGACGAGCGCCGAATGGACAGAGACGAGAGGAGGAAGGAGAAACCGTGGCACAGCCGGCCTGTTAAGAACTCCCACCATCAGCAGCAGCAGCAGCCCCGTCAGCCTCATCAGCACAAACACAACGACTTCTGGAGGCACCAGGAGCAGAAACTCCGAAGCAACGTCCGGCCCCAGCTGGGCTGCAGCTCCGTGGAGGACTGCGCCGGCCGCGAGGGGCTCTACCCGGTGGAGCTGCCCGAGTTCGAGGAGCTGCTGGAGGGCTACCTGAGCAAGCTGCAAGGCTCCTCGTCCGAGAGCAAAGACAAGATCCGCAAGCTGACGGCGGAGTTCTTTGAGGACGGCGGCTTCATTCACGACAGGGTTCTGTTCGCTGACTTTGCTGAGGACGTGGCGGACATCCTGGAGGACATGGCGGACGTCTCGCAAGGGCGCGGGCACAAGGACGGCGACTCCCTGGAGGAGGAGATGGAGGAGTTTGAGCGAGAAGCCCTCTGGAAGTTCGCAGCCACAGTTTGAAAAGATGCCGAGGGATGAGGAGTGAAACAAAACGCTAGGAAACGCCGCACAAAAAAACAAAAGATGTCTTGCCTACATTCTCCTCTTTAGAGCTGTAATTGTAGTAGCTTCTGGCACAGAGTGGTCGTGCCTCTCATAAACGCGTCCCTCCGAGTCTTTAATTATAAGCTAGACTGGTCCTTGTCATTTGGGACTTGGCTGTCGTTACCTACCTCTTGTCAGGTCATGCCTCCCAATGCAAAGTCCTCCAGTAATGTGTTGTGTGTGTTTTTGTTTTTCCTCTGCTGTAAAGTGTTTTGTCAAGACGTGGTGCATGTTGCAGGTCTCCATTTCAATTCAGACTGATTTAGATGACACACAAAAAAGCAGCGCTGTAAGGACAAGGTGTGTTTGCACAGATGAGTCATATAAGAGTGTCGATGTTAAATAGTTCCCTGTCACTGGGCCGCGTGAACTCAACCTGCCGCTTCTTCCAGCAGGTTACGGCGAACGCGCAGAACCACTCTGCAGATGTGCCATTTTCCTAACGTCCGCTCCCAGGAGGACGAGATTCAGGTTCTTTCATAGGGGAGATTCACATCGGGTCCGACCGGTTTTGCGTCAGCAGCTCTTTACTACATTTGGGGAAAACACACACACACACACACCGAGTGCTGTTTGAGAGCCCCGAGCGTTGTGCGTCTCTACAGACGTTCCAACCCCCCCCGTCGCTCCCGAATGTCAGTTGACAGCAGATCTGCTGATCAACCAGAAACTGGTTTGGGGAACGTCAGAGCTGCTGAAGAAAGTAAAGCAGTAGGACAAAGTCATAGTAGCTATAAATTTATCAGGGGGCTAAACCTCGTTAGCACTTTTCGACAGTTTCCCTGTGTTGTGTTTTACTTCGACCATTAGTTTAGTATGTTTCGTAGCGTAGCCGCAGGGACCGCTGACGCATGATCTGCATATGCTGGGGATCCCAGAGCAAAAAGTTCGGGTTAAGACACCTTATGTGAGATTGCCAACCAAACCGGTGCATATTTCATCTTGCATTATTTAAGTAGAAGTGCGAAAGCTAGTAAGCTGCTACATTTTGTTTTTCCAGTTTTAAATTGAATGAGCCGAGCAAAAGGTTAGAAAAGAAATGATGCCAGGTATGATGGCAGAGCAGCTCCCCACTTGAGTTATTCTCGTTTTGTTTGAGTGATCTGTCCTCGTACCATCCGATCATGAAGTTTGGCCCCTTCCCCTGGATGAGAAGTTCAAGTCGACAGAATGTGATTGTTGGTTCTCATCTTGCAGTTATTGAGAGAAGCTTTATAGTGTTTCATGTTTATTTATTCTGTCGGTACACTGCAACTCTTTTCCTGTTGAATGTGGAAATGGCAAAGTTTTGTTTTACGAAAATTTAATTAGCCAGCTACTGCTTATGTGCCTTTATTATTTGTATAAATATCTTTGAAGTCTGTGATTAATTATCAAGAAGAGAAAGAAAATGTACACAGCTTTAAACAGCCTGAATGTAAGCGCGCTACACATGAAGGGTTTTTGTTCTCTGATGATATTATTTGGAACTTTTTAGACCAACGCTATTGGAAGAAGGCTCAATCTGAACAGGTGAATCCTTAAACAAATCACATTATGAACGTTTCATTTTTGAGGACTATTCCTGCCTTCGTGGGACGACTTGTTCATGAGCTGAAATGTGCTCGTAATCGATCCTTGGAATAATGTGTCACAGGATGCGGCCATTTGTTTGTTATTTCATCCAACTTGAGTTATGTCCTCCTTAAGGTAATCCGTGGTAAGTTCAATAAATCTTTCAACAATAAATGTCTGGAGTTTGTTTTTTATTGAAAATCCTCATGTGGTTCATGCGAACAATAAAAACAGCATCACGGAAATCTTCACCTGCTTCCCGATGGATTATTAACTATTTTAGTCAAATGCGCCCCAGTCGTGTCTGACTGACTCTGACACAACGTGGAAGTGCTGGCATGTCGGGCAGCTTATACCACATGCTGAAACATTCACATCTAGATTAAATACTCAGACAGTTTGTGATACATGACGTGAGTCACCGCCTTCATACGCGGATGAGCGAGAATGTAAGCAGTGGTTTGAGAACAATCGGCCACTGTGAAGCAGCAGAGAGCGATTATCCTTCCCCGAATTCTACCAGTCCCCCGTACGAGCTGCGCTCTCGGTTCCTGTGCTTTTTATCTTCAGGATTTCTGTATCGACGTAGAAACTAGTTCCCGAGAAAAACGTGCGACGGTGCAGATGGATAGAACTCCGAAATAGACAAAGTTAGAACACTCAAACACACTGACTGTGTCCTTTTATTCCACACACGTCGAGTCCTGCAACTGGGAAGTGATGTGTTCTGTCCTGAATGCCACATTATTGGAGTCATGTTTTGTATAAACTGATAACTGCTAAGGCGTGCATGATTCACTCACTTGATTAAAACGGCCTGACAGAGATCCTTGCACTGCAAACAGACCTGGGAGGGGTTTTGTGCAATCATCAGTACAAATTTGCCCTTCACAGAACAGAGTGGCAGTCTTTCTATTCCTATTTCATGTGTGTGTGTGTGTGTGTGTGTGTGTGTGTGTGTGTGTGTGTGTGTGTGTGTGTGTGTGTGTGTGTGTGTGCAGATTTGAGTGGAAATCAGGCGGAGATAAGGCCAGCCCGCTGGATGGGGGAGAAGAGGGCAGGTTGAGTGTTTTCCGCTGATGTGTGCATCGGAGAACGGAGACTAAGCCTATATATTCTGAGAGGATCACAGTTTAGGGACAACGCTCTCTGAAACCGGCTGTGACACACAACCCAGCATCTCAAGCGACGAGGTAAATGACCACAGCCACTGGTGTCCAGCACCAGCTGGACATTATGTCATATCTAGCGTGAAATGTGCTTGATGAGGCTTTCGTTTTACTCTCCAGGTCTCCAGCACTAACCATCATGGAAGCTGCCATCTTCACCATCGTCACCCAGTTCAAGACGTGTGCCGGGAAGGATGGGTCCACCAGCACCCTGAGCAAAGACGAATTCCAAAACCTGGTGATCTCCCAGTTGCCAAACTATGTCAAGGTAGATCTGACTTCTAGTTCTTCTGAGAGTCTTCCTGCAGATTCCTATGTGTGTTTTCCATCCACTACTTCATATGCAGTAGATACCGAAGACACTTTGGTCGAGGATGCAACATGTGTGCGGGCTCTTGCTGTTCGCACATGTTGCTGGAGTTATAGCGAGTGGGCATATGGCTCCTCCTCCTCCTCCTCCTCAGTAGTTTCACGGATTACTCTCTTTAACAACATCATCCTCATGTAAACTACACAATTGATTCACTCTGTGTTTGATTCAGCGGCACGTTTTCACGCTGTTTGCTGATGCGTGACATGTCATCATGACGTCCAACGCTCCGCTGGGGCTGCAGCTGGAGCTGTTATATTTTTCCATTATTTGATTGATTTAATGACCATACTCGATGAGCTATACATATTTAATGAGCTATAAGTGCCAAACCGTTTATAGTTAATCACTTAAATGATTAACTGAACATCACATTTGTCACAAATACATGTGGGCATAATGTTTGCTATGTAAGTGCAATGGAAATAATAAAATAGGCACAACGCAAAATATTACACAATTTCACATATTTACATTTACGAATTGAAATTACTCAAGTGTTGTCCCCCAATATACAGCGTACATGTAACATACACCCATACACAATAACATGTACTTTCATCATCAACTAGACGAGTCTGTAAATGAGTTTGTAATTCAGTTATATTTGTTACTATACACTCAACCATTAGATGGCAGGACAGTCTTCGCAGAGCAGGCTGTTTTTTGACATTGCAGCTCAGTGGGGGGGGATGTCGTTGTGATCACGGTCTTCCTCTCACCCGCAGAACGCCAGCGATCCCGGCGTCATCGAGCAGCTCATGGGCTCGCTGGACGAAAACAACGACGGGGAGTTGAGTTTCTCAGAGTTCTGGCAGCTGATTGGAAAGCTGGCGAGCAAACAGGGCGGCTTCGGTCAGTAGAGAGCCCGCCTTCGCCTGTGGAGTGGGGGAGAGGATGGTGCTACGCCGATGAACCCAAATTGAAGCTGTCAAACTGTAAAATCAAAGGCCTTCAAATGCTTTCATCACCCCACCATGTGCCACATGTGTAACTCTTCAGAAAACCATTTCTTGAATGCGGGGAACTTTGAATTAAAGGCTTTATTGTCTCCAACCCTCGGCCACCAACACTGTCTTCTGTCATTCATTCACCACATTTTATGTCCAGGCCCCCAAATTTGAGCAAAAGGGCGTATTTTACAGCCTTCATTTAGGGGGCCTGTAATCTTATGTGTTACTGCAGGCCCAAATACACTATCCAGACCATGTCTTGTTCCTTAGAGCTTCATAACAAAGCGGCCTGTCCATGCATCAAGGTTTTCACTGTCTGTCCCAGAGGCCTCAGTCGAGTGTGTAGTGGGGATTTGTGGACCAAATACACCCAATTATGTGTGGAACGTGTGGAGCGAAGTAGTTTAATTTGTGTTGTCCTTGTTTGTTCGTAATGTAACAGATGGAGTTATGTGTACTGGATTGTAATGACGAGCGCACACGCTTTAAATCAGTAAATGAGTGGCGATGCCCCTCACTCATTTTATAAACACAGACCTTTCTACAGTTAAGACAATGTGACCTTTGTATCCAAACTACACATGCTCAGGTGCCAGTGTGGGAGGAGCGCTGATGGGGAAATGAGTCAGCGGCGTTAAAGTGAGAGACAATGAAAGCAGGTCATCCATAGAGTGAAGGCGTGTATTGTGTCTGTGCTGGGAAGAGCTCTCCAAGATACCCGAGGCGTGTATCTCACTTATGCACAGAAAGAAGCGGCAGCAGTGAAATTTAATTGATCTTTAACACATAATAAATAAACACACTCGAAAGCCTTCTCAAGAATCTGGCTGGTTCACCTCTCGCAGTACCGCCACACCTTCACCGGCTTTGGTATTTTCACTCTCCTTCTTTCACTCTGCCGAGTTCTCAAAAAGTTTAAATTGGGGAAAAACTCTACCAAATAAAAGTTTGAGCTTTTGAAAACTTTTGCTGCTTCCCCTCCACACATTTTTGAGAAGAAAAAAAACTTTCCTGAATTGTGTGGGTGATGAATATACACTTCTTTCAGCTTCAAAGTGTGTGTGTGTTTTTTTTCCTCCTGTGTCGACTCTTTATTAGTAAAATACCACCGAGCCTTTGAGATGAAGTCATCCCCCGCCCCGTCTCCACGTCCCCCGCTGGATGAAGCCTCTCCAAGCCACGACGCGGCCCTGGCCGGCGTGGAACCGCGCAAATATCCCACAAGACCAAAAAGAAAAATTCCAATGAAAACCGAGCCTAAACGCGCTTTGACACCCTTTCATTCCCCTTTTTCGCTGAGAGTTAGCGCCGCGCGCTTCCACGTTCCCACTTCTCCATCTCGCTCTTCCAGGTACACGCCCTTTGACTTGTCAGGGGGAAAAGTTTTAGGGAGAGAGAAAAAAAAAAAAAAAAAACTAAATCACGGAAGAGATTGTGCTGTCCGACTAGTTTGCCAAGTTCCCTGCGCTCACAGAGGCGTAGAAAGGCGGAGAAGAGAGCAGAAACTCTTAATTTGCGCACATTTACGCACTTCGGTTGTCCTTCATACGGTGAGTTACATGCGACTTTTTTTGGGGGGGGGGGGGATTCTTCTAAAGTTTCTCTTCCACGGGACGCATTTGTGTTTGTGCGTCGCCTTTTTGCCACGTTTCGGTAGCCCTCCAATGAAACTTGGCAGGACGGTTTCAATGACTCCAGCCCGCAGACGTCGTCAGGCTCACGTTGCGCTTTTCTCTTTTCTTTTTTTTCCTCCAAAGTACATTATGCGGGGACAGCCGCTGTTTATTTGGCTCCTAGAGACGCTTTTTTTTGGCGCTGTTTGATTGGCATCCGCTCTCTGCGTGTCTATCGGAACGATATTTGATATTTTGATGCCAGATCAGTTGTCAGGTGGCCGATCAATTGCAAAAACGGCCTGTGAAAAATTGAGGTGACTCGAGGTGAGAGAGTACCGAGCCTACGTGGTCTATCCACCGAGCATCCGGGTTTGCGCGTAAGAGCGCGAATTCGCGCAAAAATCGGCAGTTCTTTGCGTGCAATGGGCTTAATGCACAGAAACCTGTCAGCTTGTCTTGCCAGCTGTTTTTCTTTTGGCGCCGTGTCGTTCGTTAGGACTTTTACATATTTATAACCGCACATAGTGTTGACGCTGATGCGTCCTGATGTGAGCACACTTTATGGGCAGCGTTGCGCAACCTTCTGCGTTCAATTGTCCAGTGTTTTTCAAACCTATTTGACTACACAGTAGCGCGCAACCGGTGTGCTCGCCGCAATGTGCGGCCATAACCTAAATTGTTCCTCTGTTAATATTTTATGCCGCACACGAGCGGTAGCATTGTCATTACTCTGCGCACATACCGTATCGAATTCGCCCATTTGGAAACGCAATACACCCATCTCCGTTGTGCTCTGGAGGGAAATGGGAGACCTGTGGTTGTAGGCCTGTATATTTAATTATGTTATTTGGGGCCCTTCTAAAACAAATAAGTGGGATTAGCGTGTCTCTGTTCGGTGGCGGATGATGCAATTCATTTGTCGGTATTGGGGTGAGTGTGAGGACTCTGTCCCAGCGGGCAACCCCTCCTTGAGAATGGGCACATAGGTAAATAATGAATGTGAGAAAAGCCTTTGCAGGGTATTTATGGACAGAGCCGATAAGGCGCTTGTTTACTGGCTGAGGAGGGTGTGTCGTCGGTGAAGGAAGAAGTCCCCTAAAGTCTGATATCAGACAAATCAATCCCGTTTAACAAAGTCAAAACGTCAATCGGGTGTGCGATGATTACTACAAAATATGGGTCGTGTTGGGAACCGGTCAGAGGAAACCAAAGTCGAGTACGTGCTCGCTATCAATGGCCGTGCTGTGCAACAGGTTCCCAGCTCTGGTGGTATGATGGGGCAAACAGGAACATGGTCTAATTGCCCGAATGTGCCTGCAGCATTTTGCTTGTCTAGAGTGTGACATCTGCACTCACCCAAGCAAATACTATATCCCTGTGCAGAGTGTGTGTTTCTCACCAGTGCAAACGGCTGTTTGCTCTGCGCCATTTACATACAGGAGTTGTCAGACGAGTACAGTCGTCTTGAACATATCCTCTCGCTGCTTTGGGGCAAACTAGCTCGGAGTTGGCCGGTAAATTCCTGCCTAACTGATCTCCTGCCGACAGCAATGAATGGGATTCTTTCAGGGCTGTGTCACCTCCTGGCCTTTTCTCTTTTTTTTTTACACTTACAGCGATGTTTATATATCACTTGTCAACATCTGCGGGAGGAGTGTGAATGGCAGTGATGGAGAGAGGCAGCTATGGCTGGTGAGAGAAGGAAAGACGGAGAGCGGAGCCGACAGGGCCTAGGTGATCCTCTAGGTAATCTGAAGCCCAGTCCCCTCTCTAGCGTCAGCAGATCAGATGACCTATCAAAGATCACAACTTCCATTGTGCATCACAGCTTGTCCCTCAGTCTGACGCTCTCTCGTCTTCTCCACTTATCTCACGTCACCATCGCTCCCTTATTCATCTCTGGCGCCAACACCTGAAACGAAAGGTCCCGCAGGGATGCGAATACAACCGCTGTTTTCCACTCGATGTCCTCATCACCTCGATGTGTTTTTCAATCCGAGTGTCTTGAAACATCTTCCCTTTCACTGCGTGCTGCAACAGCAACACACTTAGTCCCTAATGCCGTGATCCATCTATCTATCTATCTGAATCGGTTGTCTTGACCTCTTCCTTTTGCCAGAGAGAGGAGCGATGGAGTCTGCTATTCAGACCATAGTGCAGGTCTTCCTGAAGTCCACCAAGGGGAAGGAGAGTCTTGGACAGAATCAGTTCCAGGGCCTCGTCAAGAGCCAGCTCTCCAACATCCTTTCGGTTAGGAAACCTTCACTCAACCTCTCTGAAATATGACTAACCCCTGCATCATGTAACAGCCTAGCAGTGAACTATAGAAATGTTGTTTTGTATTACCACTAGTTTCAACCTGTTCACACTTTTATCAGCAGATAAAAGGGGGAACGTGATCCCATATGATAGAATGACATTCATCACTATTATAATGTAGAAAGAGCCATTGGTTACCAACCACGTTACCTCCAATGTTACCAATCATCATGCTTGATTGTCCAATGGTTGTATGTGCCCACTATTCAGGGCACAGACAGCAAGGAGGCGGTCAAAAACATGGGCCAGGGGCTGGATGCCAACAAAGACGGCAAGGTCGGTTTTGAGGAGTACCTGAAGCTTGTCGGCTACCTGGCGACCTCGCTCAGCGAGCAGCGCAACGTCGCCAAAGAAGAGCCTGCGCAAAAGGCCGCGTCCGGACAGGAGGCAAAAACTCCCACCTCTCCGGACAAAGAGGCGGAGAAGCCAAAGGCAAACGCAGAAGCTAAAGAGGAAGTAAAGCCAGGGGAAAGCTCAGAGGCAAAGGTGGAGGCAAAGCCAGAAGCCAATGCTGAAGCAAAAGTAGCAGGCGTTGCCGAAATAAAGGTGAAAGGAAATGTAGGAGAATCGGTGGAAATAAAGTTAGACGGGGAGGCCGCAGCTAAAGAGGGGAAGAAAGCAATGGCGGGAGGGGCAATATTAAATGATCTGTCAGAAACGCCATTGCCAGTGTGTAGTAAATCAGAGGGGGCGATTGATGCAGGGAATTTGGTATCTGTGGAGAAGGTGGCTGCAGCTGCCGAGGAAAAAGTGGAGGAGAAGATAGAGGAGGCGACCTCATAATAATCACACGACTCACTTGCATTTAACACTACACAAAACGCAGCATTAATGCCCTAATAAACTGGAAAGCCACTAATGATTTTTTTTTCTAATTGACACAAAATTGACAGAAAATATCCATCAGTTGACACATTACAAACCCAACTGTATTCCTCATGTATGATAAATAACAATCATGTACAGCATATTCGTCCCACTATAGAGCACATTTACCTCAATAAGATCCTATCCTATAATTGAGTGCACACTACATACACTACATGCATGCCATATCCCAGTGAAAAAGTTAAATGCTAAATATGATTTTACCTGCAGCAGCCACACTGGTGACTCAAATGTCTCTGCAGCCAATATATTAAATGTAAATCCCATCCTTTATTCACTTTTATCTTAGTCTGACAATCTTCTACTTAGTAAACTCTTCTTGGTAGGACTTCATGCTGGGCACTAAAGGCATATAAGAATAGTTAAACTATAATATATATATAATATTATAACTGGCTTTCTTCCCCGTACTCAGATGGGACCATTGACACCACTGTTACGTCCATCCATGCAGTATGAAGCCACAGCCATTAGTCAAAGCTGTAACATTTATATTAGCGCCCGTGGATTCTGTTAAGTTTGAACAGAGCCAGGTTAGTTTCTTGGTTTCAGGTCGGCTAAACCAATTGGCTGCTGCAGCTTAACGTTTAGCAGACAGATACAAGTGGTATTTATTATCTCATTTAAATCTCAGCCAGAAACCCAATAATTCCCAAGATTGTGGAACTATTCCTATACCATTTACCATTCTTATCTTTTAAGTAATCTTGTTATTTGCCTGATTTAGCATGACAATAAACTAATGGTTTCCTAAAGATTTGCATTACTTCAACTGCATTACTTCAACTTTCTACTTTATATCTCTTTCTTTAACTTCTGTTATTCAGGTTGACTTTGCGTGGCTCCTCCAGTATATTCCCTGGAGTTGTAGTCAGCCATGTTTAAAGAACTGGAAGATAAGTGTGGCCCTATAGGATAAATTATTGAAGTTCAAAATGAAATAGACACCAAAGAACCCCTATCCAATGGGAGCCTAAAATAGTCCTGTGGAAATGGGCTGGTGACCGGAGGAGGTGTTTAAGCAACCAAATGCACCTGGATCAGAGCTGGTAGAAATGAACAAGACAACAAGCAGCAAGAAAAAAATAAGAAACGTTTACATTTTACATTACAATTTTGCATCTAAGTGTGTCTTCCAAACCACAAAGCATTTCATTGGTTATTGATCCCTAAATGACTCCCGGTAGAACAGGATTGGAGGCTTTACAAAAGAGTTTGACAATGGTTCCTTGTGGTTTCCTGCTTGTTTTAACACTACTTGCTTAGGCTTCCGTATTTGTTTGTGGGTTACACCCCCTTACGGTTTGACCTGCAACCGGATCTGTGAGTCGCAGGTATTGGGAAAGCCCTGGATTAGACATTTGAAGGGGTGACACCCTGGGACACAAACAATTACATGAAAATGATCTCAGCCTACAGGGATCCAGGTTCTGAAAAAAAGAAACAATACTGAGCCATGTATATGAATCTATGTGGTGTGATATTTACCTACAGGCTACTACATAAACTGTTATGAATTGTATTTCCATTGTACTGAAATTATTGTGGCCAAATATTTAAATTCAACATGGCCATATGTTTTTAACCTAACTCTTTCGTGTTTGGACCACTATCGAGATCACTTGAAGACGTACTGCTTTGTCACATTATATGCAATTTGTTAATTACAATTTAATGATTTGTAAGTTGTCTCCTCATCAATGATGCAGCCATGAGAAAAAGGTTCGCGTTGCAGGCCTTCTGTGTGATATCTACCTGGCCAACCGTGTCGTGCTCAAGACGCACACATTTTGGGCACCTTACCAAATGTGCATTGTAACAGCACCTGGCACTACAAACTGCTCAATAGCAAAATGAGCAAAACAAATAGACCCGTAAGTCATGTGGTCACCTTGCCTCACTGCGACACTCCCATTGTAAATACTCATTAACACTCACTCTGCTCAGCCTTTACACTCCCTGCATGCTCTATTCCTAATAAACCTACTTGGGCTATTTAGTCTATATTATGATTTTAAGCTGTATTATTTTTATATTGAAAACATTTATGGTACGTCCTGTGAATTATGGACACATATCACACACTTGGTTCGTAATCTACAGCCGGCTTCCGGTATTCCAACATGTTCATTGGCCTCAGGCTATTCGCCAGACGTGTTCAGATGCTTGATGCTTTTAACCACTAATCACGTGCAAAATGATGTCGGATTAAAAGAAGAAATTGGAGATAACCCAACTGACTTTACTGGCATTTTTTTGTTGTTTTTGTCTTCCACTAGCAACAGATTTAAGTTTAACATTATCTGAACATTCATCTATATAGCAACTTTCTTTTTTTGAATCAATGTGGAACCGCAGATGGACGGAGTGAAACATGAGAGCTAATTTCTCTTACTAACAAAGAGGTTGAATGGTCCCATAGTGTGAACACCAGCCGGCCTTAAGTCAATGCCGCTTAGAAAACACGCTGCAACGGAACACGGCAGATTTGTGGCAGGGAGTGTTTGCAGCCAGATTTTCATTGACATCACGATAAGTTCCATTCATTCTGTGACAGAGAAAGATAAAAGCCTGAGTCAATAGTCCTGCCAGTGGATGTGACAGATGTACACACGAGTATATGGACGCGCTTTGGGCCAAAATATCTGGGACATACTAGAAGATGTGTGTGTGTTTTACAGTTAGACTCATTTCAGTCAGCTGTCATTTCCAGTAAACTCCACTAAGCTGGTATGTAAAACTTCATACGCAATGCTGTATCATTTTCCCTCATTCTATGTAACACCTTTAAAGCCTAATATTGAATAAAGCTGTGACAATAACATTTATATTTGTGTGGCCTAATATGTGCTTTCACGAATCAAGAGTCAATCTTGTGTGTGTGTGTGAGATGGAGAGAAAGAACCTGCAGAAAGAAAGAGTGAGAGAGTGAGGATAGAGAAAGAGAAGTAGAGAGTCTGTAATCCCAGGTTTGGGGGGGTGAGGAGCGGGAGGAGGGGAAGGGACAGGTGATATTTAAGAACCCGGCACTCTCTCCCCATCCATCTCTGCCGTGCCTCAGTCGCCTGCACCTCTTCAAAGACAAAGGAGGCCCTCCATCAGCACTCAGGTAAGACAGACGACTTAGAAGGGTTCCTTCTCTCTACTTTCTCCTCTGCAGCTAATGGAGGTTCACTTGAAAAGTACATCGAAAGCATTTTATCAGCCGTTCAATTTTAGACAAATAGCTGTGGCATCAAAACCTGGACACTGGATAGTGGGCGCTGGAGTCCTTCCAACTTTGTTTTCCATGTCTGTGTAAGCCAATAAGTGAAGCCAATAGGGATCTTGCACCAAAGTGAAATGAGAATATACTCTCGTTCATGTGGAAGTAGGTGAAATGTATGAATGACAACTATAAACATGGCATGAATGCGTCATACTCTTTTGAAACCAATGCTGAACTGCATTCTTCACTCGGCGTCGACAGTGAGTTCATGTTCATATTCACTACAACCATTTGCTATGTTGTGTTACTGAGAGCATTTTCGTCTCCATGGTTTCCTATTGTCCCGTGTCAGCCGGTGAGATAGATTACCCCCATAGATTTTCCTGTTAGCCAGCTTTGGTGTCCACTGGGCTCCTCCTTTGTCTCTGCCGCCTACAACGATGACCACTGCTCCACAATGCTCCACAATGCTCCACAGCATGAAGAGAGGAAATACCTGGTGACCCGTAATAATACAAAATGCACGGTGATCGATTGACGGTATCCATCGGTATTCTGCTCGGTAATGGAGGAGCCCATTTTGATGGCGCTCTGTCAAAACTTTAGACTTAAGCAAGCGTGAAACTGAGCGGGTGTTGGAGAATACAGTACTCTGACACCTGGTGTTACTCGCCACCTTAGTGTCTCCGTGTAATTACCAGACGGGTCGTGTGCTTCTCCTCTTGGTTTCCATCTTCAATGATGAGGCTGTTACACGATCGACAGGGCCAAGAAGTGGACTCAGGTGTTCTTAAAAACGGTCTTTTGAGGTGACGTGAAAAGTGCATTCCGTTTTTTATAACACATTGAGACCCTGGTTGTTTTTGCATCATTGACAGTGAATCATTTGTGTCTGTGTGTGCAGTCTCTCCTCACGTCCAGCACAAGAAGCTCCAAGATGCCGGACACAATGTGTGTAAGATTGTTTCGAAAAAAAACCTTTTCCAAAAGCCGTCCTCCATCTTTCCATCCAAACCTCTGAAATGTAAAAGCCAGACAGTGACCACACTCTTTTGGGGTCAGTAATAGCCTCCGCGCCGCACGCAGAGCGTTATTCAACCCATTGTGTAGAAAATGGGAAACAAAAACTCCTTCCTTCTGCCCATCCACCTTCCTTCCTATCGCTGTGACTTAGAGGCAGCTTCACCCCTGACTCCCATGTGACCGCACATGCAGCCGGGGCTGGAGCGGGCATTTCGTGGCAGACTCTGACCTTTTGACCCCGACACCCTTTCAGCATGTCCAAGGAGCCCAGTTCCAACCTGGAGAGTGCCATGCAGATGCTCATAAAGACGTTCCACAAGTACTCTGGGAAGGAGGGCGACAAGTACACGCTGAGCCGGGGCGAACTGAAGGAGCTGCTCCTGGAGGAGCTGGGGACCTACTTAGGGGTGAGAGATGGAATGTGTGATGAGGCGACAGCAACACACTGAGGCAGTTTGTAAATATGAGCGGAGGTATGCGCTCGCATAGTCAGGCGCACAGGTTGCGACAGGCTTGTGTGGTGATGTTTGCCCACACACACACACACACATACAAGTAACACAGGACACATTCTTAACTCTCTCTGTCTCACCGCCCCCCACCCTCTGACAGGGCTCCAAAGATAATGAGGCGGTTGAGAAGGTGATGAACGACCTGGACGCCAACAACGACGGGGAGGTGGACTTCACCGAGTTCATCATCCTGATGGGCGCGCTCACGGTCGCCTGCAACGACTTCTTCCTGGATTGCAAAACAGATGAGAAACCGACAGATGAATGCAAAGGCGGGTCGGCGGAGAAGAAAAACTGAATTAGTGCGAAGAGCGGAACCGGGGCAGAGAGGTTGGAGGGGGAGAGAGGGTGGAGAGGAAGGGGGTGTTAAAGAGGAGGAGGGGAAATAACTGTAAGGGAAAGAAGACAGATGGGATTTTTCTTCTTTGGCTACAACTACGCAGGAGGGGAACGGTGGGCAGAAGGTGTGCGGGTTCATAGTGATTCAGCAAGGAGAAGTGCTTTTGTTCTTTGCAGCCGTATTTGAGACCAAAGCACATCGGGGAGCCAGTTGCAGTCAAAGCAGAGAGAGACGTTACGTACAGAACAGGGTTTATATTACAATTCCTCCAACACATATTTAGCAGTTTTGACAGCATAATCTGAATCAGGCCCTGGAAAGAAAATACGTTTGGCAGAACGTACGCTGGGATTTCTGAGCATTTCTTATGAATGAATTATTTGGGAACGTAAATTAAGTTGCAAATTATTATAGTAGTGTATGTACTCAGCGTAACAATACAACATGTTGTATCGCCTTTCCTGTGCATATTTTGTAACCCATTTTGGTAGTGACCAATGCATTTCTGAAAATATTAAACGTGGCATTTAACCAACTATTTATCGCTGTGTGTTTGGTTGTGCATCCTTTAAAATCCCTCAAGCCGCACAAGTTTTCATCGACATGACGCCATGAATCACTGCACCTGGAAATCAAGTTGAATGAGTGTCTCTGTGTGTCTGTTTGTGTGTACGTGTGTGTGTGTTTGTGTGTATTGGGGATTCCCACAGAGAAAATGGGTCCAGCTCACACATCCTGCCAACAATATCCTGCAAGTCTTGTTCCACTAGATATAAGCTGACCCAGATGTTCGACTTGGATCTGAATGGAAAACTTCTTCAAAAGAGGCAGAGACAGAGAAGGAAAGGGGGGGGGAGAAAAAAAAGAAAGAAAGGGTGTGAGAGAAGCTGGAGAGTGATCGTGTGCATCTGCGTGTTTGTGAATAAAGGAAGGACAGCATTGGCAGGCAGACAATCCAATTTATGGATCGCATTAACTTACGTAACTTGGAAAGCAGTGTATAATCACAGTGGAATGCTCACGCTGCTGTGACTGTTGCTGCACACTTCTTATCCCTGAGTGTCAAACACACACATCGTCTTCCACCTCATTGACTTTTCCAACAGCCTGTCACTTAGAATGCTGAGCAGCTGGATTTCTTCACTCCCGGTTGCAGTTGTGCTTGAAAACCCGCGAGGCTCTTCTTCTTACCTTTAATCCACGATGACAAAACTCATTCCTCAAGTCAGCTACGGTCTGCGGGCGGGTTCCTATCTACTCAGTCCTCCCGAAGGGCGACCTCTGATTGGGCCGTTTGAATAGCTGGGCTGGAGGTGCTGGGCCTGCAGATAGGTTAACAATTCAAAACACAACAGCGCCCATTTAACCCTGTTGTAGCCCGAAGGGAAACAAACAACCTGTGTTGAGTGTCATGGCTGCTGAACGGTTTTCTTGTTCCAAAAGATCCGTACAACAGCTGTTATCAAGTGGGACAGAAGATAGAACATAAACACCTCGCAGTAAAGGAGCCAGAAAAGGCAAAGTCAGCAACAGGGTTTGTGAGTCTACAGCAACTACAGGAATACAAAAAAAGGATTTTACACAATAGGTCAAATACAAACAGCAACAGTGGCCACGTGCAACAGATATTCAGTATTATCTCTATACTTAGACAACATACAACTCTGCTATTAAAGGTATAGTGGAGTAAACGGAGTAGTTTGTGTCTTACTAGAGAATGAAGTCTCCCTCCTTGTGCAGAGCCGGGACTCTGCAGTGCGCCCTAAAGGGGCTCTAACGGGGCTCTAACGGGGCTCTAAAGGGGCTCATGCGTGAGTTCATACGTCAATCACACAGTGTTCACATGGTGCGCACACGCCGATCCTTCGGCGGTTACAGCTGACTATACAGTTGCGTGATGTGGAAGTTGGCGCTCACCTCCCAGGTAAACATGTAAGCGTGTTTCAGTTGTGAGCTGAGAAGTCCGGCCTCAGCCGGATTGAGGATGGTGTGGAGGCACAAGGCATGCTCGGAATTTCCAATTCAGCACCTTTAGGTCAAAGGGCCAGCGTCAAACTGTAGGGAAGAGGTATTTTTGTATGCCAGGCCCGATAATTAGCATCGCAATGTTCATTCGTTCAAACATTCAAAGTATTTGCAGCAAAATATACTGAAACAAAAAGGATGGTGCTCTTTCTGCAGAAAAAATGGGTTATGAGTCATGTAGTATGTGATCGTACTGGAGCAGCAAGGCACAAGCTGCCTTTTAATCTTGTTGCTGGTTGTGGAGATAGATTTAAGTGGATTGGTCCAGTGGTTCCAAATAGACACAGGATACAAGGGATTGTGAGGGGATTAATGCGTTTCAGAGATTCACTTTTATTAACTAAAACCATTTGAGAAATGTGGAGGGGAAATCATTCTTTTTTTTAACTGAAATGTTTAGACATGTAATAAGTGTTATTTTGTGACTATGAATACATGTTGTATCTAAAAAGCCATGGGTCTAAAGTGTAATGTAAGTCGCTTTGGATAAAAGCGTCTGCTAAATGACCTGTAATGTTAATGTAATGTAATGTTAAATCTAGTGCTGATTCTATACAATAGGATCAACTGATGTGGGGCTTGTAGCTGAGGTGCAGAAGTTATGCTCTGGGCCGGTTACTTAATTCTCCGTCACGTGGCCTTTTTCAACCACACTTAGACAAACAAAGGCCGAAGGACATCCTGCAAACAGTATCTAAAAACACGCCTGACCTTACAAGGTCAGCCCGCTCAGACTCAAACGCGCCAGCGTCTGCAGTGTGAGAAAAAGAGACGCTGGCACCGAGCCTGAAGCCTTTGATAAGGAAGACGGGGAAACTTCGGTTACCAGTGGAGCCGGTCAAGCGACGCCCAGATGTCAAGCCGCCACGTCCATCAGGCGGAGTCAGGCTGGGATCACGTCCAGCTGTTACGCAAGCCTGAGAGGAGGGTGGCGTACCAGTGAGATCACCATAAAATGCTTTCTAGGTGTAGCTTGCTCTTGGCTAGAATTTGAGAAGGCCCGCTTTCCTCAGGTTCATGAAATTCATCTTGATAGAAGACCTTAGGGAGACCACCACGGACGCCACCGCCGGTCGCTGACCACGTCCTGCAGAACGCTTCAATCGGACCTTGTTAGACAGGCTGCGTTCTGGCTACGACCTGCTAGTGAAAGCCTCTGTTGATGGTCTTGCATCCAGCCACACAGATCATGCCGTAGTCGCCATGCAGCCCTGCACGTACAGGGAGCCGCAGATGTCTAGCTGGTTGCACTAGTGTGTCGTGTTGTTGTAAGCATGTATGTACCAACTCAAGCAAGCATTCTGGCCAACGGTTTTGCAAACGGGGAGAATGTTTAACGCGCCCCGATTGAAGCGTTCTGGACTACCATTCATTTCCTGCAGGGTGGTGCGCCGTCGTGCGGCTTTCAGTAATGCCGTAGGTATCAGAGCTGTTTCATTAGTGCAGACGCAAAGTTTGGCCCCCGGTCAAAATGGAACCGAGCTGCACAGCCAAAGGGCTGAATGACAGCGCACGAGTCAGGAGACATATGAATTACAGGGACATGGCAAGAACATGTTCTGATGGAACAGGCTTTGATGGAAACACACACATCACATTGACTAAAAGGCGGTTTTAAGGCACTGGCAGTTTACTTCAGTGTATCCATTTATTTTGCTTTATACATCTCCCGTGCTGCATTTATTTAACAAATAGTACTTTTTAAATTAGATTTGACATTTTAAAAACACATAACCTTCTTATCATTTTGACTTATGTTTGTAATGGGGGCCTTCTTTCACATTTCAGACAAGTACTACACTTTTACTTGATAGCTGATCATTTGTTTGCAGCAAAGCAGGTGAAAGTGTCTCTCAACAGCCACCTGCATCCAGCCCACTGAAAGTTATCTCTGAAATCTAAACTGTGGGTCACTTGCCTTCATAAATTAAAAGTTAAAGTCTTGGCCCCCAAAACGGAGAAGCAAACAGCGGTGGCGTCCTCGCCGAGAGTCAAGGTGACGGACAGCCTCGGGTAACAGCAACAGAGTGAGGTAGAGGAGAGATATTTTATCCTCAACATGATCCTCGTCTCCCCAATAGACCTTTCCACTCTAAGCTGGCACAACAGCCCTTCTCCTTTCAGCTAATTAGAGCATGAAAACCAAACCACCGAAAGCACAAATCAAGCTCTGGTAGTTAAAGAATTTGTTAAACACAAAAGTGCTCCCATTCAGTCATTGCAAGCGTCTGTGAAGCGGCCGCTTCCTCTGGGACGCGGAGGCAGTTTGATGCTTTGATCGCTCTCTTTCACAGCAAACACCGTCTCCTGTTGCTGTTCATGCTGTGGATTTTCGGGGCGTCAGAAAGAAGGCCACGTGGGACCACCCACACTGAGACTTTTATTCTAATCTGTTTTACGATTTCTGAACAACAGGTCCTGACGGAGTGAAAGTCAACAAGAGGGGAGATATATGCCTTGCGGGTGTGTGTCCTTGTGCTTCAGCGCTCTGGCCAAAACTACAAACGAGCCTTGCTTAAAGCTGGAAGATCTCCAAAACAAGAGAAATGAATACACAACTGAGCCTTAATTAAACCACATTTTATTGTCATCTTGGCTTTGTTACAGATCACAGTTGTCCAAATGATTTCTAAATTACATAGACACATAGCAGGCCAAATGTTTGGGTTAGACTAAACAAATAAAATAAGACTCAAGAGAAAATAATATGGTAACCACTATTTCAGTGGTCTGCCTCTTAGCACCAAGGGGCATTAAACCCTGAGGGAGAACAGCATCGCAGGTCTGAATTACTTTCTACAGTTAAAAATGTTATTTTTGGTCATTCACTTATATCTATAAATGATGTGTAGAAATAAAGAACCCCCCAAAAAAATCAGCAGGTTTCTTTCGCAAGCATTCCCTTAAAAAAGAATTGACCGGGCCATTGAGATGAAAACTTTGTTTGGTATCAGTTTTTGTCGAGAAACACCCAACAATTGTAAGGCCGTTAAGCGCATTGCATCAGGGTGAATCACGAACTGTTCACAGTGCAGATAACACAGTGGAAACAACTCCCTCCTTCACAGTAAAACAGAGGAACTCCTCAAGGGGTTTTTTTCACACTCAACAAGTATAACAGCATAAATTAGAAACACCCCGCAAGCCGAATACATTAAGATAGCTGCTCTTTGTTCCTCATAAGTGTGAGAATATGCTTGTGTTTGGATTTTCCCGGTTAATTAGGGCAGAAGAAGAGACTTCATCGTGTCGGCGTGTTGCTGTAGTGTACCAGCACCTCCACCAGAGGGGGAGAGAAAGCACAGGCCACAAAGTCAGAAGTCCCTTCTGCTTCATAGGCAATTTCCCTCAGCAATAATGACAAAGATATCACACGCAGAGCCGCACTGGATAATTAAACATCGCGGCTCGAGTCTTGGTCCCAATCCACCTCACATTTCATTATTAAAATCGCCTCCTCGCCTCACATTCAAAACAGCAGCGGGGATGTTTTGCATCAGAGCTGAAGATCAAAGAAAGACAGAAGGAAGCATCTACTGAGACCAAGAGGGAGCTGCAAATGTTTCCTGATCATGAAAATAACAACGTCATCCGAAATAACCAAAATGGCGTCACGCAGTCAAGTCCTAAAATGAGACGGAGCAGTTGAAATACACACTTATCAGAGACGTGAGCTTGAGACTGACCTTCGGAGACATTTAGCCCCCTACAGACCCGAGGGGTGCGTTCGTTTGTGTATACCTAAGGTGGGGGTCGGGTGCCGTCAGTGGGGGCGAGGCACTGGATGCAGCAGAGTCATGTGCTCAGCGCCGTCGAAAGGCAAGCGGCGGGAGCAGTAGTGGTGCACCACCTCTGGGATGTTGGCGAACACGCAGCTGCTCTGGTCCAGAGTGTAGCCGTTCTCTTTGGTCTGGGCCACAATGATGTGGACGCATCCTTGGCTCGTCCTGAGTCACACGGAGGACAGGGAAGGAGAGAAGACAGATATGACGATGACCCTGGTGGTTTTCTGATATGTGTGTCTAATGAATATGTTGATCTCGATGTTTCCGGTTCCTCTTCTAAAAGAGAATTTGTATCTGTCCCCACAAAGTCTATCACGCTGCATTCTTTAGCTCTGCTCTAATTTGGGTCAACTTGACAGTGAATCATGCAGATCCCGATCACGTCAGTGATGCTTGTTTTGGGCTTGCTGGGGATTTGAAAACCCAGATCATCTCTTTTAGATGGAATAAACAACACTGTCAAAACTGCTGGGAGCCTATTATGCATCGAAAGGATGTTTAGTTTTACCTTAAAACGGTAATGATGACATAAACAACGTACAACTAAGCTTACAACTGGACCAAATACATCTGAATGCTTTTAAAGCACAATATGTCATCAGAACCAATTCCAGCCCCTTGAGGCAGCAGCGGTGCACCTTCACGCTGCACTCACTTGAGGGCGATGGAGTACTTGCTGCTGTCCGACTCGCTGTTCCTGACCAGGAAGCTGGCTTCTCTGCAGGGCTGCAGCAGAAACTCCGCCTCCTGACGAGTCACACAGCCATGGTACCAGCTGAGAAAGAGGGCGAGAGTGAGGGGATCGCAGCAATCCGGAGAGAAGCATCCGAAAGGCACATAAGCAGACACATGCCAACTCTCACAACACTCCCGTTGAAGTCGTTCTCCCGCTCACCTCTGCTTTTCCAGGGGCAGGCAGGGGTCGACGCAGCGGGCCTCTGCGTCGAGGGCGCAGGAGGGCGCCGGCGCTGTGGGAGAGGACCGCAGGATCTTCTGCGTCCAGCTTTTCTGCCTCAGGTGCTGGTGCTGCTGCGCAGGCTGAGCCGGCGGATGTTGGGGCTGCCGGGTGAGAGTGGGGTGAGGAGTCTCCTCTTTGGTTTGGTGTTCAGGGCTGTCAAACTGTGCTGGGGGGGAGACAAGAGAAGATATAAATTCAAGTAAAAGAAAGAACTTTGTGCCAGAGCCTCCCGTAAATATAGAATGAGAAGACAGCGGTTTGATGAATCATGCAAGATGTGGTTCAATATGCGGTTGGTCTGTTGCAACGTATGAAATATGAATCTGAGAGCATTTTTTTTTGTTTGAACAAATAAACTTCAGACCGATATGGTAGAGAAGTGGAAAAGTTGTATGAGTTCAGCAGCACTGCAGCCAGCCTGGAGACTGCATGCCTTTTAATTACTTTGAAAAGTGTTTATTTAAGTTGTATAGATAAAGAAAAGCCCCATGTGGTGGATGCCATGTGCAAAATGTCTGATGTACCTGAGAGAGTTTTGATCACAGGCTCCTTCCTCCACTCCCAGAGCAGCTCGTACTCAGTGGGGGGTCGGGAATCCCGTTCGGGCGGTGTGACCGCCGCCTTGTCCCCTTCACCCCCGCCCTTGTACGGGACGTCATATATCTGTAAAGGGACGGGCTGACCGTCCTCCCCCGTTCCCTCGCCTGCCTCCACACACACCTTCAGCAGGTCCTTGGACCCCCGGCGTCTAATCTCTTGCAGGTAAAAAAACAAAGAATTGAAGATTAAAATCTGCGCAGCCTCCAGAAATTCATCTACGTGTCCTTTCCATTTGTCTCTCATGCTGTTATGAATGGTGAAACAGTATCACATGGTAAATAACTTCTAAAGGGATTATATGGAAATGTTGTTTCAGGGGTGGTTATACTGTCTAATCTCTCACAAATGAATTTCTTATAACTGGTCAATAACACATAGTAAGGTATTTATTAGCTCTGTACCTTTATAAAGGATGATTCATTTACTCAGTGGCTCAGCCGCTTTGCTTATTAAGCCACAGTGACATCAGACTCTTGCTTACTTCCTCAGAATGATTTAAGCTTCATAAATTGACTCAGTCACATCATCGCATCCTCTGTAGACTTCTCTGAGGAGGCCTGGAAGTAGCACGGGCACTGATTGAACTGCAATAAACCATTCTCGTGCACAGCAGGCTATTGTGTAACCCTTCTAGTCAGAACAATGGAGTGATGGAATGAAAGGTCGGGCATGTGTTTGGCTGACGGATCACCAGTCTTCCTAGATGCTGGGAAGTTTTGATAAATGGTCAGACAGGTCCATATAGGGGGCTACATAGAGCCGTGTCCGAGAGGAGGCGGGAGGGGGGGGGGACGTGGGCCAACTTCCTTTTTAGAGAATAGTACAAGGAAACAGACACAGGAAAGAGGAAGCAGGGTCAGGAAACTGCACCCATTGTCCGAAACGCAGCACAACCAAACCCCGAGGGGTGAGTAGAGTACTAGGGGGGGGTTTGTGCTCCCGCTGCTCGGCCTGCAGAGACTGCAAATAGGATTAATTCTCTCGGGGGGGGACGCGTGGAAACGTCAGCCGCACAGATTCTGTGATTCAATCGCTGAATGAAGTATCGGCGTCACAGCCGACCGACATTGGAGGAGTCAGGAGGAGCGCGTGGATGAACGTCTCACCGGTTATCATTTGCTGGGCGTCGTAAGGCTCCATGTACCCATCGTTCTCCCCCACCCTCTCTGCCTCCCTTTGCTCTCGGGTCTTCTGAGCGTCAAAGGGGTCGGCGTAGTCCTCAAGGATGATTACCTGGATAACAAAAAAAAGCAGGGAATCACAATTCTTCATTCGACATAAAACCGGTGGGGGGCTGAAAATGTGCCAGGTGGGAATGGGGATTCCCCAACTAGGGCTGCAATAGCTTGACATGATGTCTAAAAGTCCTAAATAAACATCTGCACACGAAGGGGTCCACGATTTCTGAATCACTGTTTCCATTTGTATATATCTTGCCGTTACAAACAAGGCTACAGCTAATAACTATTTTAATCAAATCATCTGCTGATCATTTTCTTAAAAAATAATAATTATTTCCATAGATACCAAAAGTCTTCGCTAAACCAAACTACCAAACCTAAAGAATAATTGCATTTTGGCCACAGAAAGACAGAACATCCCCCTTTTGTCAAAACAGGTGCCAGGTAAATTACGACCAACCGATCAAATCATTATTCCAACTGTATTTTAAACGATGGTCGACGTCAGACAAAAAATATCCGCGTCAGAAGAACACTTGACTCGTCATCTTGTCTTAAGAGGCCCTCGTGGTTGTAAGTCCCACCCTCTTCACATTCATGTCGGTCTGTTTACAACCGTTTACAATCGGTGGTCTTGTCATCTTATCGGTGCCATATAACTTCTTGTTTGTTTTGCAAGCCACTGGCTGGGAGACAATGGCGTCCATATAATGTGAGGTCGTCTCTCGCTTATCACTTGCCCGGCCCTGTTGCTGAAGAAATGTTGGCATTCGCTGGTGTTTTAATAGAGTAGCAGATGCTCGACAGGTTGTTTACAGCACCATGAACACAGACTGCTTCACAGAGGTAACAGCTTGTTACACTTTCACCGCTTGTGGAAATAACATCACATTATTTATTGTCATAACAAGGAAATGCGAGACAGAGGAACAATCAAACCCGGTGAGCGCAGTGGAGATCGATAACAGAAATTTGCTCCCTTCCTGAAATATAAAACTTCCTATGGGATATTCTCCCTCTCTTTTGTGTGTCTATTTCCCTCTCCACCTCTCCACCATCAAGGCCCCTAACTTCACTGTCATTCTGCCTTCTTTTTTTAAAGCCAGCCGCAGGGGACTCGGGTTGGCTGCTAAGTGTCAAATTACACAGTGCTTTTTATAACATGATATCCTTCTTCACCAGGGGGGCCGTATTTGGTGAGAGAGAGGGGGGGGGGGGGGCAGCAAAGGGAGGGGTGAGAGAAGCCAGATAACATACAGAAGAGGAAGCTAAGGCCTCATGTCTGACCACAGCTTTGTATCCAAGGGGAGGGCGGCGAGTGTAAAGGCGAAGCGTGGAGAGGAAGAGGCCGAGAGATAGAAAGAAGGACATGCAGGGAGGAGGGGACACAAAGGGTACGGTGGAGACAAAAGGGGCGAGATAAACTGGAACGATAATATCAACTTTCACAGCTTGAACTGGGTCCAACAGGATTGATGACACTATATGTGCCGCTATTAATGCTACCAGAGATTCAATTAAAATACATAAATAAATAGATTTATTATCATATTCCAACAATCAATAAGCTGTGGTTAACTTACGGAAAATAGTAATCACACTGTAGAAATAGGAAAACGTTTTGCATGGGTAAGATGAGCAACCAAAGCAACAAATAGCTACAAAATGTATTTGACAGAATAAATACTTTGCCATGTTTAGGGTATCATTAACAACATTTTTTCCCAGTGGTGGAATTCTGATAACAAGTAAATGTATAGATGTAATGGTGAATGGCCCATAACTGTTGCTTATTTAGTGATTAAATGTGGAGGTGACTGTACTTCATGTGCTGCCGGACCGCTTAAACCTCCAAATTGTGTGTTATTAGTTGATAACAACATCAGATAGATTTTGTAATAATAATCCAGAGCCGCTAAGCAAACAGCAAGCAATGCAGAGTGAAAAATATTTTAACTGGAAATGATAAAGTTGAGTATAGTATCAAGGAGCAGTAAATTACGGAATTAATACAATTTTATTATAGCTCATATTTTGAGTAAGGGGTAAATATAGCTATGCTTTATGGAGTTTTCATTTGTAGTCTACCGTAAAAAAAACATCATATCATTGTTGGAAAGTAGTCATCTCTGTATTTTTCAAATAAATAAGGCTTATTGGTCCAATATTTCCTTCTGAAATGTAATATGAATATGTAAATGGCCTGCTTGTAATATAAATACTCAACATTGAATTTAAGGGGAAAAGCCAATAAGGGGCCCTTGTGATATCAACATCAGAACTCGCTTGGATCGCACACTCACCGCCTCGGACTTGCACTGCGCTGGTTTCTCCGCTTCAGGGGCCACTTGGTGATTGGTGATGGTGGCGCTGTTGAAGTTGGGGGTTTTGTCCTGCTTGTCCACTCTGATCAGCCGGTTGATGAACCCGTTGGCGGACTGGGAGCTTTTCAGAGGTCTGTGCGGCTCCTCGACCGCCGGCTCCGCTTTGGAGTTCTTGCGACTTTTCCCAGACAGGAAGTTCTCCCAAACCTTCCCATCTTTCAGGGAGATGGTTCCGTTTCGACTCAACTCGGAGTTCTTTCGATTTCTTCCGGACAGGAGGGACCCGACTCCTCCGCCCGTGTGGTCGCCAGATGTGTTTTTGCGATGGCCCGTTTTGGAGCCAGCTGTTTTGGTACCGATGCTGGCCACAGGCCCGGTTTTAGTGGCTTTAGGTTGTGAGCCCGACTCGGAGGCTGAGCGGATCCTGTCAGCGCCATTCTTCAGATTGATGGGGAACTCCTTGAACCACTTTGCCATCGCGACCTGGGACGGGAACCGATAAAGCTCCGTGCTTGCTCCCGACGCCTTTTTGCGCCATACACCACGGGGCTCCAGAGACGCGGCTTTAGAAATCTCAGCCTTTCTAACAAAAGACTTCCGTTGCTTTATTCTAGAGCAGACGGGTCTCCACACCTCAGTTCAAAACATGAATGTTTTCAAAAAGCCAATTGTTATATTCTTAAACCATCGATTCAAAGAAAAGTATAAGTACAAACTTACCATGCCTATTTGGCAAAATAAAGAACCCAAAACAAACTTTATCCCATTTGTGATTGTCCTACACCTGTTGCTTATTCTGCGGAGGAATAGTTCATCCCCGTTGGATGAAAATATGTCTTCGGAGTGTGAGCACCCGAAAGCAGGCAAAGTTCTTCTTGCTTCTGATTTGTGGTCCCATTCCCAGAGTGGCTTATCTGGTCTTTCACAACCTTCTACAGTCGCAATGGGGCTCCTGGCTGCGCCTCGGGTATAGAGGGGAGGGGGTATCTGAAGTTAGGAGGGGAGGCAGGACCGGGTGGGCGGCGATAGGCTTTTAATAAGACACAATCTTAGTATAAATGATTCTACTTCAGACGTCTTCAACAAGGATAATGACACATTCCTCCTTGTTTCGCTTTATAATTTATGTAGATTATGTTTCAACTGCAGCAATATGAGAGATCAATACAACTAAATGGCTGTTAAGAAAAAGGTAAACATGTGTATTGGCCCTATTACATGTTGGCATAGTGATATGTTTTGATCAGTCTCAGAAATTTTCAAACATCGGCTCAAATAAGCTTTAATCGATTAATGCTAACTTTTTAAATCTAATGTTCACTTTTTGTTGCAACCCCCCCGAATGAATTACTAAAATTGAAAAATAATAGTTATGTTGGTAATAGTTATGTTGGGTGTTAATGAAATACCAATCATACTGTCACTTCATAATCCGTTGAATTGGCTATATAATTAATATTCATTCCTATAATTTGGCTATCGTTAGGAAATGGTCTGTTCTGAGCTGCTCCACTTATACCAGTGAAAGGTATGACGGCCAAACTATACATTTAGAAAACGGCTATTGACGAAAGTGATACAAATATTTTTCTTATAAAATAACAATTAAATAAAGTATGCTATACAACAAACCCTCTATTTCAATGATTTTCGGTTTTAATGCTTTTTAATTTCACAAAGCATACATGCGGACTCCCCCATGTTTATGATGAGATGTAACCTTCCATGTTGCGCGATACTCCTGCTTGTCCCTCTTTGTCCGGTGGCGAGAGTAGGCCATGATAATTATGGCAAAATTTGCGTTTTTGAATGAATTATAGTTGAATGGTGGATCAACAAGCACACACCCGAGTGAGGACTGGTTTCTGGCAATGACACACCAGAGAGTTTCAATTTAAAGGACATCAGAACAAGCAACGGAGAAAGGGTACAGTTTGCTTCCAAGACAGTCTGCAAGATGGCTAGCTATCTTCAGTGGCATGCTAACGTTAGCTAGCCAGCTAATGTTAGCATAGTAAACAACAGTTTTCAAAACATGATCAATTGCTTAATGTTATAAATGCTGTGATAAGTGGAATTGAGAGCACATTTTCACAAATGACAAATTGAGAGGTCAATCACAGTTTTCGGATTAATGTTCCAGTCTTGCCGCTACTGGGGAAAATCTCAACGCTGCTAGCAAGCCACATTGAGTAACGTGGCTAGCTGGTTAGCCGAGGTAGAAACTAGCTTGCGTTAGCTAGCCGGTGGACTTCTTTGCTACACATCTGTAAGTGATCATTTATAGAGGGGGGGGTGGGGGGTGCTGTGTAACTTCCTTGTACTGGCAGTCGGGCCAGGTAACGAGCAACCAGTTTCACTCCGCTAGCAGCAGTCTGTTTTGCAACGAGACGAACTCGTGCTAAATAACGTGAACCGGCTGAGTTTTACCCTTCGTTTATTTGGTGACCAAATCCCGGCGTGACAGACACCGTGGCGTTGCAGCAGCGACGTAGTTTGCAGACCTGGGCCGGCGTTACAGTATAACATACGTGCTACTAACTGCTTTGATGATAACCATTTAAACGTGATTGATATATCCTGAAGGCACATTCCACACACTTGGCTCGTAGCCTTTCAGGACGTCGTCATTTTTAACTTTTTTTTTCTTGCACATGAACGGTGATATGCCACTTCACCGACAGTCATATTAACTAATGGCTGCCGAATCGGGGAGACTACTGGCGGGACAAGGAAAACGGAGCAAAGGTAGGAACAAATTTCACCCATCTCCCAGATCAGACCTGGCATCATCCATTTCTGCGCTGCACTGGTGCTGTTAGCAGATCCCTTACCCCCTCTCATCCCCCCATGTGTAAACATCACGACTGTTCCCGGTGGTGGCTGTCTTTCTCACAGAGTGGATCTGTGAACGGGGGTTCACGTCTACTTTGCTATAAATGTTCCTTCAACTCCCGTTTCCTCGCTCTCATGTCCTCGTCTCTCCTGTCTTCCCTCATTGACTTTACTTCTTCAGCCTCTGTCTGCGGCCTCCTTCCCGCCCGCCGGGCTCATTTGGTCTGCCTGGGTCTTTTGCGATTCAAGGCTTCATAACCGTGGCGATTGAAGCGCCTGGATGTTTGGATGCTCAGCACCTTGTCCTCATGCCCGTCTATGTCCCATCATTGAATCCATCTCAACTGTTGGACTTGAAAAAGAGGCCCTAGGTCTAAAGCTGCTTCCGCTCTGTCACTCAGGGGTATTGGCCAATCCAAATGGGATGGTGCGCTTGATTGGTGGTGGACCAATTGCATGGAAACCCATTTGTGTTATGTCTAATGTTACATTTTCCCCCTTTCCACCCCCTCCCTCCATATTTTAATATTTCAGCTTCACAGATGAAGAGCCCGGAGAAGAAGAAGGCAAGGAAATCCACCAACCAGGTAATTTTTAATACTTAATTATATTGATACTTTATGTGATAAGTGGACCACGAAGGCTGCAAAGAGGTCAGAAAAGTAATTAAAATCGTATGCTGTATTTTTATTCTCCTCTTTGTTTCAGGCGGCAGGATTCTCTCACCTTACAGAGTTTGCACCCCCTCCCACCCCCATGGTGGACCACCTGGTTGCCTCCAACCCCTTCGACGATGACTTCGGGCCCCTATCCCGACCCAGTGGGGCCGGTGGACCAAGTGGTGCTCCATTTCTTCCCAGCCCAGGCGGAGGAGGTGGGTATGTCGGTGGGGGCAGAATGGGCATGGGCTTCATGGGGGGCCCGGCAGGACCAGGGGGCGGACAACCTGGACGGAGGCTGCCGTTTGGACCTCCGTCCAACGCTGGCCCCCACCACCAGCTAGGCTTTGGAGGAATGCCTGGCTTTGGAGGTGGTGGTGGGGGCGGCAGCGGGGGAGGAGGGGGTGGTGGCTTTCCCCCTGGTGGCCCTTCTCAGTTCAACATGCCACCCAACTTTAGCCCACCCATGCATCCGGGGCCAGGATTCAATCCCATGTTGTCTCCAGGGTCTATGGGAGGCCCTGGGGGAGGGGGGCCGCCCCACCCTCGGTTTGGCATGCCTCCGCAGCAGCAACACGGACAGGGTGGACACCCATTCAACAGCCCGCCGTTACCTGGTGGCGGAGGTCCCAGGGGGCCCCCACATGGCCCCCTGCCTCCCATGGGAGGAGGCATGGGTCCTGGGATGAACATGATGGGTGGCATGAGCGGTGGCCCCGGAGGCAACATGGTGGGTGGGTTACCGGGTATGCCCCCCCAAGGACAGTTCCCTCCCTTCGCAGGATGGCCCCCTACCCTGGGCCCCAGTCCGCCAGGGCCTGGGCAACGAGGATGTAAAAAACTTTGGTGGAGGAGGTCCTGGGCCTCAGCAGCAGCAGCAGCAACAACAACAACAACAGCAGCAACAACAACAACAACAACAGCAGCAGCAGCAGCAGCAACAACAACAACAACAACAACAACAACAACAACAGCAGCAGCAGCAGCAGCAACAACAACAGCAGCTTAGCATGAATCCTAACGGCCCCCCTCCTAATAATACCACTCCTGGCCCTCCTTCTAATTCCGGGCCCCCACAACCAGGAGGAGGCTTTCCTAGCCACCCTGACGTCCAGCAGCCCAATTCCAATGCACCTGGTCAGCCTCCCTCAGCACCGCAGCAGCCTAACCCCAACTCCTCACCTACTGGTCCCCTGAATGGATCAGGCCAGCCACAGCATCCACCACCCAGTCAGCTACAGCCCCCCAGCAACACAAACACCCCCAACTCAAACAACTCTACCCAGCAGCAGCAATCCACCCCACCTAATTCTGCCCCTGGCTCCACTCCGTACAACCAGCAGAACAACACTCCGGGTGCTGGCGGTCCCATGTCAAATGCGGCCCCCAACGCAGGTCAGAACAGCATGACCAACAACGGAGGCAACACCCCTGGCAGCAACCCAAATCCCCCCTCCAACTCCACTTCGACCCCAAACACCCAGTCTCCGCTGCCCCCCGGCCCGGCTGCCCCCTCCACAGGCCCTGGCTCTGGCCCCGGAAAACTCGGGGGCCCCGGGATGGTCTTCCCTTGCGGCCTCTGCATGGCAGAGGTGCACGACGATCAGGACGCCATCCTTTGCGAGGCGTCGTGCCAACGCTGGTTCCACCGTGACTGCACAGGGCTGACGGAGCCAGCGTACGGGCTGCTGACACGGGAGAGCGCTGCCGTTTGGGCCTGTGACTTCTGCATCAAGACCAAGGACATCCAGGCCGTGTTTGTGCGCCAGGGATTAGGCCAGCTGGTGGCGGCTAATGAGAGTTGAGGGGTGGATGACAGAGGGGCTGCGTGGAGGTGCATCGCGTAGGAACAAATAGACATTCTTTGCTTTGACCTGACTGACGTGTCAGAAAGTCTCCCAACTTTCTCTTGACTAGCCCTTTACTTGTTCGCTACAGAGAGACACACACACCCATTGACATCCTTGCTTAAATACAACACTTTGAGTGACTCTTGGAAAATGATTTTTCTTCCCTTCCCCCTCAAAACGAGTCAAAAACATGATGAATGTTAAACTACACAGTCCTTCAGACATCTAGACTGCCAACCAGCAAAGCACTGACACCAACACACTACCTCACACACTTTGTGACTGACTCGCCACACTTGTGCACCGCAGGAGTGTGATGACATTTCAAACCCACGTCAGTCGGCAAACAGAGTTCAAATATTCCCCTCTTTTGTATTGATGCAATGGCTCAAGTTATTCTCTGCGTTATTCTCTAATGTTTCTTGGCTGTAATTAAGAGAAACATGATGTATGTAAAATCTTCAAAATAGAGACAAATTATTGAAAGAGTGCCTGAAAATCTAAAAGGGTCTTGTGTAGATCACAGCATTATTTTCCATCAAAATGATTAATTTTTTCAATTGCCTATCGCTTTGTCTTTTTACTGCAGGCAAGGGAAAGAAAATCAAAAAACTACAGTGTATTGCTGCGTTAAAGTTAAGTGTTTTTTGACAACAAAAAAAAGGATTGGGGGTGAAAACATATCTTTTAAAATTCTTTAGTCAGTTTCTCCTCCTTATACACACACACACACTTTGGCCGCGTACATCCGTCGTTTGGTACTCGGTGCTGATTAGTTGTAAATAATGAGGACAAATCAATTTTCTGGAACTTGCATCAGTTGTGAACGTGCTACAGAGTTGACCAATGAACAAAATAATAAGTTAAACGTATGTGTCTTGGTTGTCTACAGTATGATGTTTTGGTTTTTATCCAGTACATTGGAGTCAACAGTTTCTTTTTATCTCTGCAGTACACATGAATTGTGAAGTCAGTGCTTTTGTATGGTGTTGGCAAAGCAAGTATGTGCATAGTACTTTAAAAAATAAAATAAAAAAAATTAATAATCTGGGACGGAGTTGCATGTGAACCAATGCAGTAAATATCAGATCTGTTTATATTCTGACCTCTGCGCTGCAGGAGGCCTTGAAGTAGACCAAATAACTTAAGAGCGAACGATACCCATTCTTCAAATTTCTGTCATTGTAAAATGTGTTTATAACTATTCTCCCCTCCGTCTCTTTACCTTTTCTTTATTCAATGTCCAAGTTGCCTTTATTTTTCTTGCTCTCTCAGCTGTTCTTTTTTGGTTTCGTACTGGTATCTGTGCTGTGCTCTTGCTCTGCTCTGGCGCCTCATGGTGGAACCTGCAGGGACCAGTGAGTCTCACACCGGGTGGGGAAGGGAAAGGTACTGAACTCTGAAGTAAAGACAGAATTTTGTTTTTTGTACTTGTCCATGTCTGTTTTTATTCACATTTTTTTTATTTGTTTGCTAATTGTATTAAAATGAGGGTTGGAAACCCCAAATGAAACAGGGAACAATGCATTTTTTTTATAAGGGACACCTACATAAATTCTGTAAGTATTTACATGAGCAGATCCTCATCAAAGGTTTAAGTTCAGAAAGAACTTCATTCTATGGGTCTACACCTTTAATGTCCTAATAATGTATTATTACATTCTTACATTTCCTACAAAGAATAATGATTTGGTGCTAATTATATATGTAAAAGGATTAGAGCATTCAATTAACACTTACTCCAATAAAATATAAACAAGGGACTTTTAGCCAGAACATGCAGAAATAGACATAGATAATAGATCTCTTGAGAAGGAACATTTCAACAGTAGTAAACTTAACGTTTCCAGAGATTCATTATAATTATTTACTTGTGTTCTCTGTAATGCTCTTTTTTTGTAATTAACACCATATTACAAAGTTCTTGGTGGGAAACCAAATAAAATGTCTGTACATTAGGATATTATTTCTAATGTTTGACATTTGTATATGGTACTTTATGAAATTTTCACATAGAGAAATATGGTTCACTAATTAAAATTGTACAGTATAAAGTATGTCAGTTGTATTTTGTGTACATGAGTCAAAATGGTTGATCTCCGGTTATTTGGGGTATAGGTATGAATTACGGTTTCCCGTCCTATGGTCCAATTTCATCTTATATAATTGCATATTTGCATATACAATTTCGTGGCAATTGGTTAGAGTGGATCTACAGAGAGTCAATAAGCATGTATAACATGTCTCCTGTCCATCGTGATCACTTTGTCTATGAACTGCAGTACTATTAGATATGACCACGGGCCAATGCTGCTGTGCACACATATTTTTAAATATAATTGAGAAATAATTTCCCCGTAACACCTTTGTTGAGACACCTCACATAGTTGTGTTTGTTTGTGCAGCGACGAGCCAGCGCTCACAGCAGGCCCCGCCCCTTCGGTGAGCCGCCCACCAATGAAATCGCTCCTGAGGCGGGACGACGACTATCCGATGTTCTGGCAACAGGTTGCACTGGACGAGAGGTGGTGGTGGTGTGTGTGGGGGGGGAATAAACGATTCCCCGGTGTCCTCAGTTCATTGAGTAACATCTTCTTATCCCACCAGAGCTGCTGCTTCCGCGAAGACGCGTCCAGGAGCAACGTCTCGGGATTCGGCTCGTCTTTGCAGGTGCGGTAGAATAAGTATTTACAGCTGCTTCATCTACTGAACACTTCCTGTTGCGGGATCAGGTGGGGGGCGCGCAGTCCAACACTTTAAGCCCCCCGATTTACTGAGCGGGCAGTTTTTACTACATTTGGCCGAGCAGAAACGGACACCTGTGGCTTTACTATTGGATTGACCCCCCCTCCTCCTCCTCCCCCTTTCCTCCCTCCCCCTTTGGCTTTTTCCTGCTCTCGCTAATGACCGAGCATCGGTTCAGCCGGACGTGTTGTGGAAGGTTTGGTTTAATTGGATTTGGCGCAGAGAGGATGCACCAGAGGTCACGGTAGCGGGTGCACGCGTTGAGGGAGTGCGCGCGCCGCGTGGGCAGGCCGGGGGGGCAGGTGCGGCGCTTGTTTACCCCCCCTGTCGCTGCAGGTCTCGGTCCCGCCGGAGCGAGTCAACAAGCCGGTGGTTTCGACGCGCACCGATACTGCCTGAGCGGATGGGTGGGTGTGACGCAATTAATCCACGAGCAGACAGGTGCGCGGGGGCTTACTTTGCTCCAATGGCGGCTCCTGTCTTTCCACTTATTAAAAGGACCCGGGAAGTCCCGCCTTACTAGACGCTTTTGTTGGATATAGACGTCAAGACCACAGCAGAAAGTAAAGTAAGCGCTCCCCCATCCTCACTTTCGTTGCATTTCAAATAAATTGCTCCACAAACAGTCCTGTCCTAAAAACGTGCGCCTGGGGACACGCCGCGAGCGCCCTTTGAGGTGTCCATGTACACATGGACCTTTTTTTTTAATGACGGACACGCATCCAGGTTGTTTGTGTTTTGTACAAGAGAAGCGGAAGCACTGCCTGCACCAACGACAACAAAGTAGTTCCCTATTAAACGGTGGGCGTTGAAACTATTGGGTATGAATGATAAAGCGGTATGTTCATTTATTACTTTTATTAGTCATATGTTTTGAAAGATTCTGCTTAATCTAAGTAGTGGGGCAGGCTTGTGTGGATTGATCCACCCATTGGGTAAAAAATCCTAAAGATATTGAATTGGAAATGGAAATGAAGGAGTAAAGCCTGACTTTTGCAGACTTTGGCCACTGAACCTTTCTTGAGTATTTGCTCTATGGATGACCCAAACAATTACATAAATTGTCCGCACTGTTTTTAAATCACTCGTCTGGTTATTGATGGATTAACCGATCTTATGATGGAAAAAAATCCTGCTGCCCTACTATCATAGTAGCCCGTCATCACATACCAAAGGGCGAGTGGGAGAAAGTTGAATGACCAGGGTGAGGAGAAGGGGACGATGGCAGACGGGCCCGTTTGGGGACATTCCTGTCCCCGTTGTTGACTCAGCATTCCTTGTGACAGGAAAGAGCCCGAGAGGAGGTGAACCTGTTGTCACCAAGCAGGCTAAGTCCGTCTTTACGTCCAACAACATTTTTGCGCCGAGACAATAGACCATCACATCCCACAGTCCCTTTTTTAGGATCACTGTTTTAATATCCGGTGTGTTTGTTTTGGTTTATTATGTCAGGAAGGGGGCATCAGTTGTGTTTTTAATCTCCAGTTTTACTTGGTTGTCTTTTAATGAGTCTCTTCACCTTTTTATTTACTGCCTGTGTGGCCACTTGTGCACAGGCCTTACAGTAAACGCTGCCCGACTTCTCCGTTTCCTCTTAATCTGTCCTTATTAATACAAATGCAAACCACGCGCAATGCCCAGTGCAAAGGGAACGGCTGGAATCCCAGGAATGTTTCCCAGAAAGACAAAGCCTGACTTTCATTCGCCAATCTAACCTCGATGCCAGTAGAGGTGCTCGGTGTTACACTATAACCAGCCTGTCAGTTGAATTTGGTTACATTTTAATTTCCGTGAGAGTCACATCTTTGTGTCTGGACATAGGAAACAGGCTGGGGTTGAAAGCCAAAGGCTGATTCTGCTGAGCTTAAATACAAAGACTAACGTATTTGAAGTGGAAAAAACGTGTCCATGCAATAAAAGACACGTTTTAACGTGATTTCACAGAAGTTGGTAGTTCTTTCCACTGAAAAACCGGCCATGCTTATTACATCCAACCACCTCCTACCAGATGGTGATTTGCACAGCAGGTCCCTGCATATGTCTGTGCACACGCTTTCAAGTAGGTGTGTACGTGTGCACACACAGACACAAGCCCCAGTGTGTGTGTGTGTGTGTGTGGCTGCACAGCTCAAAGTAAACAGTCTACGCCTGACTGAGTCCACTCTGAAGTCTGGTGACTGTGGAGACTTTGGCGACGGCAGGGAGAGAGGCGGGAGGCCCATTCCTGACCGAGCCCCCCGGTGTTTAATGCTCCGCAGCGCCGGGACAAAAGGAGGAGTGTTCATCCTCGCGCTGTGTTCATCACCAGGCTCATTTTCAGAGCATCAAAGGTGCCGTGGCATGCTTAGACTACATTTCATTTTTATATTATTTATTTATTAAACCGAATAATCTTCGGATATTAAGAACATAATAATTTGATTCAGTTATCCAGCAAAAATGGCATGCAGTGGTTCCAACGTCTCAAATGTGAGGAATTGATGTTCTTCCTTCGCCATGTACAATAGAGACAAATATATTTTTGGTTGGATACCAATGCAATTCCACTGTTTTTTACTAGAACGCTGGACCCTACATTTCCAATGTGAGTACTACTATATATTTACACAATAATAAAGTCACAGAAGTTAGTTTGCTACCTGTGACAACAGTAATGCAAATATGTCCATTAAGTCAAATCCAACGCTGATTCATTTGTACAGTCTGTGTATGGTTCAGTTGCTGTAATTGTTTCCCCAATATTAAAGACACAAACACCTCTGCCTCTTTCTGCTTAACAACTGTTACATAAAAACAGGAAAGAAAATCCTTCCATTATTAATGATTGGGTTAAAAAATTGACAGTTTGAGTGTCAATACTTCATCTTTGTTTTCACCAAATAAAAGTACGCCTCGACCTGTTCAAAGAGCCTCAGAAGTACACCGTGGGGCATATTTGTTATGCGAGGATTGCTTCATACCAGCAATGTGGCATTATCGTATAGTCATAATGACTCTACCTGGGAGGAAGGAGTGACACATTCAGGTTGAACGACGACTCTTTGAGTTGCAGAGTGTTTACTTTTTTAAAGCCTAAAAAATGCAAAAGCAAAATTCATATTTTAGCAAAGCAACACATGTACAAAATGTCTTTTGCCAATGAGTGCGAAAAAGGGGGGGGATTTCTCGTCCAGCTTTCGATTCACCTAATTTGTGTCTTTGCTGTTCTGCCCCCAAGGCTGCTCTCAGAGAAACCAGGAAGTCAGCATGAACCCTGCGTCCACCGACCGGAAGCCCCTTGTGGACTACGGCGTCCAGATCCGCTTCATCAAGGACCTCCACGACACAGGCGGAGGTTATCCCGATAAATCCAGAGGGAACAACAGCGCAGCCTCTCCTTCCAATAAGTACGGGGTGGCAGTGCACGTTCAGGGGATCTCCGGACAGCCTTATGTGGTCATGAAAGATGGCGAGAAGGGGGACTCCTATGGAGTGCAGCTGAACAGTCCCGTTCCCGGCTCGGGGCCACCTTCACCTCTCAACAGCCACCCAAAAACAAATCGAGGAGCGCAGGAGTTCACAAACCCCTTTAGCCGTGCTGCAAACACAGCACGATCCCCCGTGTCTCCGTCAGACGATGAGGTCGGGGAGATTTTTGGGAGCCCTCATAAGAGGCCTCCGGGGGACGGTCAGGCAGGAACACAAGGGGACGAGGAGGGTGGAGCCGGCAGAAGAGCCGAACCCCGACACAAAGAGAGAGCCGGGGAATCGCAGAGAAGCAGAGATGAGACCAGCGACGAGGAGTACAACGAAGCTGGCCTGAAACGCGTCAAGTTAAACGGCGCGGGACCCAAAGGGTTCAAGCAAACGGGCTTTGGTTACACCGGCTCTTTGGGAAGACACATAGGGCGCAAAATAAGCCCGGATTCCTCTCCCGAGGCTCTCCCGAAACCTCCACCGCCAGCTGACGTGGAGCCCGTCCCAGAGATCGACGTCAACTCCTTGGCTCCCATCAACAAGCTCATCAGTAAGTTCAACAGTGGGACTCCAGCGGGCGGCCCGCAGGCGAGAGGCCGCCCGGGAGGGAGGCAGAGGCTGAGGTTCGACGAGCACCGGCGCTCGAGAAGCCTTGACGCGAGGAAAGATGCCCAGCCCGAGACTCCCTCTCCGACTCCGAACCCCTACGCCGCCATTCCTCTGTCCGCCTCCTCCAAATTGTCGGCTGCATCCGTGCCAGCGGGCAGCGGCACCGCGCCGGTTTCCAGGGTGACGGCACTCGAGGCCCCCCGGCCGAGCTTCAAGTCGCCGGGGAAGTTTGTTGCGAGGGACCACCATCCAGCTGTAGCCAAAAAGCCTGTGAGTACCAGAGTGACGGTGCCATGATGAGTATTAAATTGTGTCGTGTCTGCCGGCTCACTCTGCAAACTGTATTGGAAGGAGATCACTGCGAGGAATCAAAGCAAAGTCAACGGGGAGGAAGCGCCAGTGAAGCAGGTTGCTCACAACGTCCTTAAAAACGGGTAAGTAAACATCAAGCGTGACACGAGATAAGATAATCCTTTACTGATCCCGCTGCGGAATGTCCACAGGCATTGTACGATGCGACCGAATGCAAATACACGTGCTTTTCTAATCTGAACCTCTGTCCCCGGTTTATTTATCAGCATCACTGAGAGGGAAGCGTCCTTTAGAAGAAACGCCAACCCCGTCGCCGAGACAAACGGCAGTGTAAAGGTACGACGTGTACACTCACTGGCACTCTTTACAGAATAGAAAACAGTAATATTGGAAGCATACAAGTTCATGCTAAGTATTGTGTTACAAATAATGTCATCTCAAAGGTTCACGTAGCTGAGATGTGGTGTCTGACGGGCGTCTTCTTCTCAACAGAGTAGCTCTTGCTAAGTTAACAGATGGTTGGCACCGTCTCCTCCTCTCTGAGGATACGAGTATCTCATTCACTTTGTCTCCAAGGATCCTCTTTGGACATGCCAAAAAATGCAAGAATAAAGGAGCATGCAGAGTATTCCGCTGTCATTTTTGGCGGCAGCTTTGCTCTTTTGTGCTCCTGTGAAACCGTATTAAAATGATTGCGCCACGCTTTTTACTAGCCCACCACTTCCAGTTAATTTGCATCCTTCTGCATAAATCTACATACATGAGTTATTCCTCTGTGTCCTGGAGATTCTCATATTACATCCTCTTGATTATGTATGACCCCCTTGTTATGTACTTCTCAGCGGTGTGGTGACCATGGCTGCGTCTGAATTGTTTGCCCGTCTTGTCTCTTGGCAACGGTGCACCTGCAGAGGAAAGCTGTTGAGGGCTCAGTGTGTGTTGAGCAGCCAGTCATTGAGACCCATCAATAATTGAATTGGTCTGGAACCTGGCCCCAGCTTGTGGGGGGGGTTGCCAGATAGCACAGATCCTTTTTGGTGTTGTGGTGAAAACCGTGCCATGTTCTTTAAGGCTGTAACCATGCTGCCCACTTCACTTTATTTAGTTGCTGTTTTCTTTTGCAGCATTCATCTCGGGCTCTTCAGAAGTGCTAACAGCTACTGGAACGTCCACAGGCAGCATCAGACTGCAGGGCGAAGGGGTTCACAATGTTTGTTTTCCGCCTGAGGCTATTTCCGTTTTCTCCGGCTCTGCCTCGAAACCAAAACATTGCTTTTGTCTGCATGATTTGAAAACATAAGATCAGAGCAGGATCACATGAGTGTATATTATACAGAGGGATCCTCCAAGTCTGTTTTGAAGCAATCAGTGATACAACCAGATAACATCCAATCTATATATATATATATAGAAGTTATCCACATTGGAAAGGGGTAATACAAGGACAACATTGAATGGAAGCCAACAATTAACAGAAAAGTAATGTTGCATTCTGCATCTTCAATCAGTTTATTTGGGGCTCAATACTGAAATACCCAGAAGAAGCTGCTCCTCTCCCTTTGCTTCTCTTGGATTGAAGCAATAACATTTACTAGTGATTCATGAAGGAAAAAAGCAAAAGTCTGATGAAATAATCTTTAATATACCATTACAGAACATTTTAGTTTTTTATCTTTGAGTCCTACTAAGTAGTTCTGCTAAGACTGCAGGCCAGGTCTCTTTAACTGTAGATTAATACATACATGAATACAGCTGATGCAATTCAACCAAAGCACTCGAAAGAAAATCTTATCTTCTATTAATTATCTCGTTGTGAGGACAGACAGTAACTGAAATATCCCGGAACGGATTTATCTGCAGGGGGCCAGAGGAAAATGAAGCAAATCTGTACAAAATGCATCCTCGTATTACGCCACTGAGAAGTGAGTTCCCCCCGAGGAGCGAAACCATCCGTGATCCTCGCTCTGTCTCCCTTCTTCTGCTTCCGTGTGCGTCCCTGTAATGAGCGTGTAGGACGATAAGAGTGGGTGGGGGGGAACATGGGCCGGCTGCGCCTCCTTTTCACAGAGCGGGAGCCCTGACGGGGCTGAGGGGGTGTTCTGCTCCCGTAACAGCCTCTAAGAAAAAGTTTTAAATGTGAGCAGGCTGTCTCTCTCTTTTGACCATATCTGAGCACACTGCCGGGCCTAGATTTCTAACTGTCAGAAACTAGGGCAAGGAATCCGAGTCAGGGTTTCTGCTTTTAAAGTGTCAGATAGTACAGAGGGCATAATGCATCAGCAAAGTTGACTTAGACACTCTGTTGTGATGCTTCCAGTGCTCCTCGGTGTGTGTGTGTGTGTGTGTTTTGTGCTCGCTGTTTGTCCTGTTTCTCTCTGTCTCACCTTGCCCCTCACATGCTTTCTCTCTCTCTGTTTGTGTGCGTGTGTGTGTGTGTGTGTGTGTTTACATTCTACACAATAGGGACGATTTGACGGCAGCCTCCAAAAGGGGAAACTTGAGGAGCTTCAGGGGCAACTTATTTGCTGCAAGGAAGAACTGCAGCAAGTCCAAGATGAGTAAGGACCTGTTTTTGTGTGTACACCTGTGCGTGTGTGTGTGTGTGTGTGTGTGTGTGCGTGCGCATCAACAATAAGCCCCTTCATGTTGTCCTGTGGCTCTTTTGCCGCGGCAACCTGACTTGATGGGCTCGTTATTGTGTTATTGTGTGTGGCGTTACTATATTGATAACGTGTTTGTGTCTGTGTGCAGACTGTCCGAGGAGCGAATGGCCAGAGAGGGGGCGGAGTCTCGTCTGCGCCTACAGGATGATCAGCTGGCTGAACTTCAGGAGGAGCTGAGGAGGGCTTCAGAAAACTCGCCCCACTCAGAGCAGACGGTACTTCTGCAAATTATGGGAGGAACACATTCACACACACAAATGAAAACATTGCCGCATTTCTCGCTTCTCCATCCATCTGACCGTGTCTCCCTGCAGGACGTGATGTCTCTGCAGGCCGACCTGTCTGAGGCCGCCATGTTGCGTCGGCGCCAGGAGGAGGTCCTACGCCAGCGGGAGCGGGAGCTGACGGCCCTGAAGGGGGCGTTGAAGGAGGAAGTGGAGTGCCATGACAGGGAGATGGAGGCCCTGAGGGAGCAGTACAGCCAGGACATGGACAACCTGAGGACAACCATGGAGCAGTTCACACAGGTGGGTGGCTCCATCCTAGGAGCCCTTAAGGTCTACTGGGGCTGAACTGCAGGGAAGCAGTGGTTCATTTTTTTCTAGTGGATAAAACTGTTCAGGCTTAAATGAGCAGTGCAGAATAAGAGTCATCAGACTGATGGTACAGAAGGAAAATCTAACATTCTTGTCGAGGACCATTGGCCTGATAGGTCTTCTTTAAAAGTAAAGCAAGTTTGATCATCTACATTGTGCAGTTACTTTACCGTACGAAGAGTGTGTACTGGTGAGATTCTAATGATGTCACTGAACCAACACTAGTCATTCAATAAAGTGAACAAATAACAAAACGAGACGGTAATAAATCCCCCGTTAAGAGAATAGCTCGGCCAGATCTCCATTTTCTGTCTTTAAGTCCGCTTCAGCTCTGGATCACAAACATAAGATTCTGCACACTGATGAATGCCTGCACTCACTTTATAAAAGTGTTTTTCAGCATTTACTTGTTTTATTTTAGTTAAAAATAGAGGGCCGTTCAGTTGCGTAGCACAGACCTGCACTCTGCCTCATATTTTCACATTGTCTTTTCTCATTATGTTGAGTCCGTGTCAAAGGAAGCGCCTGGAGATGACAAAGAAATTAACCAGAGGATTCATAAACTCTTTGACGGTTTATTTTTGAGCTCCCGGTAACTTCAATTCATTTGAATTTTTTGATTATTATTATATACTTTGAATAGTTCGCTGGTGACGTCTTTGTAGACGGAAACATTCACAACATGAGTTTTCTTTGCCGAGCCTCGTTTTGTACAGATGTACTGGGAGAACAGTCAGGTTAGACCTGTCAGGGAGGCTGTGTGTTCTGCATCCGTAATTATGTCCTTATTCAATTGTGCTTTGAAGTTGCATCCGTCTCCTTATTCACTCACGCTATGTCTTGTTGTTGTGTTTTGTGTGTCGGCGTGCTGTCAGTGTGTCGGGGCTTCACGGGGTCAGGATGAGCCCGTGCGAAGACTTCCACAAAGAGAATTTTCCGACTTGTGATTGCGGCGTGAAAGTTTTCCAGTTGACTATTTTTGGAGTGTCGTACTGGCGGATGTGGTGTGGAGGAAATTTGAATCATATATGTGTGCGGGAATAGATCGTTAGATTCTCGAAACGGCAGCGTCAGGGAAAGAAAGTATAACGCAGCTCGAGAGCAGGAAACAAGCAGTCTGGCTGGCAGCTGCTTTTTGATGTGGCGATTTATTTGGCGGCGGCAGAATTAAAGGAGTCGGATCCTTATTTGCCTGGAATAGAAACTGAACTATGAGATGTGATGGATTTGGGTTTGGGGAAACTCCTTTCTGAATCACTGCGTTTCTGCAACATCATAATGAAAAGGGGGGTTAAGAAATAATTCAACGTGACTCGTAAAGTAATTGTTTGCGTGTTTGTGCGCGGCCGCGTTTCAGTCGCAGGAGCAGATCGAAGAAGAGCGGGAGAGGGTGAACTCCTCCATGTTGACGCTGCAGGACGAATTGGACGGCTGCAGGCATCAGGAGAAGCAGTGGAAGACACGGCTGGACAGCGCGGCCCAGGAGCTGCACAACACCCGAGAAGAGTTAGTGTCTATACGCCTTTTCTGGAATTTTATCACTCAATTGTGGGCTTGGAATAGACGCACTGTATCTTTTTCAGTATCTGACTTCAAAGGACGCAAGAAAAAAAAAAGCACTGCACAAGCATGACGTAACATTCAAAGACCATGAATATGGAGATAACCCCAACTGATTATGAAGCCATAACCGCTTCAAACGCACTCCACAAAGTTTTACACTTTTATCACCAAAAAAAACAATGTGAAATCACTGATGAAACTTTTTTTTTTTTTTTTTTTGGGAGTTATTTTTTAATGTATGCCCTCTTTCACTTGACTTGTCATTCAGCAGGAGCGGGACGCACGCCGCCAGCAGTCGAACGTGAGAGAGAGAATCAATCTCACCGTGTTTGGTTTGAGTAGCTTTAGCCTCGTTTGCAATCAGCACCGATGTGTTCCCTGGAATCACTTGAGCATAAACAAAACCCACTCTGGTCATATCAGAGCGGGTTCCATGATATCTGATGATTTTGATCATCAGATATGTGAAATATTTTGTAATCCAGTGACAATAAACCAAATCAATCAATCCTAATAAAATAATCATTATTCAGAAATCTTGAATAATTGTCAAGATTGAATCCAGATGAATCAATGAAATTAAAAAAATGTTTTTCAATCTTAACAAAAGATGCTCGGATTTAATTGTTATTCAACATAATTGATTTTGAATAAATAATGAATGCAACTTGGCTTAAAATGCCTCATTAACCGATTAGCGTAGTGCTTTAATCCCCTTGTGCTTTGTTTGTTGTTCGCCACTGCAGACTTTAGCGTGTGTGTGTGTCTGTCTATAGTGTGATGATCTACTGCTATTACTTTCGAGGACAGATTGTAATATCAAATACCAACAGAAAGGCGAGTTAGCCTTTTGAAATACACATTAAATGGAAAGACGTTATCCAACGATCTCAGGCCTTGGACAGTACACATATCAGAGAGTACACAACTGTTGCAGAGCAGTAGACAAACTGTGCCCGACCACGTCTGCTCTGCAATTTGTGAGATAAAAAAATTAGCCCAAAGCTCATCTGGAAACCTCCTCATTCCACATCAAGAAGAACCATAAGCACCCCATCGGCAAAACTTGAAAGATTTCCCCATGTCACTGGTTAACAGCAAGAGGCCTGGGCTTAATCCGCTGAAATGAAATGCATCTTCTTGATAACAGGAGAATCCTTATTCAGAGGTTTTTCTTGGACCTTTGCCAAAAAGGGCCATTTGCCTGAAAGATTTGCAGAAACCAAACCGGATTCTTTTGTATTTCTCTATAAACAAAATTCAGATTAGTCCCTGTGAGGCTTTTTTTTACTGTTTTTTTTTTTTTTTTTTTTCACATTTACTTTCTTTTCCTCAGGCTGCTGAAATCTCGTTCGCAAAGAGACGAATTTGAGGTCGAGCTGAAAGATCTGAAGGACTCGCTGCTCAGCGCGCAGAAACCAAAGCCTGCGTCTGCTGATAACTTGTCTTCAGCCGAGGTAATTCTAGTGAGGCGGATTGAGCTTGTTGTGTGGGTGGGAGGCAACTCCGCTCCTTTTTGTTTTACTTTAATCTCATTCATTGTTCCTTCACTCGCACATAAATCCACACTGAGCCACATGCTCATATTAACGCATGGTCATGGGGCCTGGGACATTCGTCACATGTAAACGCACCTTTACCTTTTTTTTTTAATTGCTTATCCCGAGGAGACTCGGCGTTGCCGTGAGGATCTGAAGCAGGCGCGCGCCGCTCTGGACAAACAAAAGGGCGAGTTGGACGAAAGGAGCGAGGCGCTTCGAGCCCTGAGGCAAGCGAGTGGAGAGAAGGAGGCCGAGCTTCTGTCTGAGGTCGGCTTGTTGAAGGAGGAGTTGCAGAAATACAAGGCAGAGCTGGAAAAGGCGTCGGAGCGGACGAAGGAGGTGAGGTGTCATTGCCGGCGACTTTGATGTGATGGCGTGAAACGGGTAGACGAGTAGAGCATCGGTGTCAGTTCTCCGTGTTCCTCTGTGCGCAGTCATCGGGCGGGTCCTCGGGGAGGACTGAGGTCGACTACGGTACCAACGCGGAGCTCCAGGAAGCAAACACTCGGCTCAGAGAGAGGCTGGCTCGCATGGTAATGCACAAATAAAAGGCACAGCTGTACACACATGCATGCAAAATTATGTAAACCGACATACTGTACAAGAACAAAAGTGGCCTCCCACGCAGACTCTATTTTCAAACCGAGAGATGCGAAGTGAATCAAATCCAATTCCAACATGTAGGCTCGGGAAAAGAATCCCTTCGAGATAAATTGTGCTCCATTTGCTTTGGAACGTCAACGTATTCTCGCCATCTTTAAGATGCTATAATCTTGTTAGCTTTGATGTGAAATGATCACATAAAGAGCCTCGTCACACGTAAATCCGTGTAGGTGCAAAGCCAACATAAATCCACACATCTCAAGGAGGCAAATAAGTACTTTTACGATGTTGCTCTGGAGTTGGTATGCAGACTGTACACAACTCCACTTCCTGTTTCATTGGCCCAACAACACCCACATTCAATGCCTTATACCTGTAGCACAATAGTGATAAAAACACGCATGAATGGATTCTCTCTCGGCCTCCAGACAAAGCTCCACTCCAGTGCGCCCCGCAGCCCAGAGACCGAGGAGGCAGTGGAGGCTCTGGAGGATGAGAACCGGTCCCTGAAGACTCAACTGGACGAGGCCAAGAGGGGAAACGTTCGCCTGAGCAAGGAGAAGGACGAGCTTGGCCGGCGGCTGGAGGAGAGGGAGCTAGAGAGGGAGGCGCTCAGGAGGGGCAAGATTGACCTGGAGGAGCAGAAGAGGCTACTTGACCGAGCCCTGGAGAAGATGAACAAAGAGGTGAGGCTCACGACGGCGTCTTCTCTTTGCTGACGCACAGAGGTACTGTCTCGCACTGCCCGTTTCACTCTTTCTGCCTCGTGCTCTGTCAGATGGAGATCATGATGGGAGAGTCCCGTCAGTCGGTTGCCACCCTCCAGACGCAACTTGAAGACTACAGGGAGCGCTCGAGGAAGGACATCGTAGAAGCCCAGCGCAACTGCAAAGACCGGCTGGCGGAGCTGCAGAGGGCTCAGAACAACCTCAAGGCCCAGCAGGAAGAGGTGAGGACTAATGGTAAAAGTAAAAGTTAGTCCGTTCTTGATTGTCTCACGCAATTTTTGGAATACAAGACGAAGGATCGGAAAAGGAGGGCTAAAAAAGAGTGTAACTTTTCCAGTGTTACAGGGCAATATGGAAAAACAGTTGAATCTTCACATTATGGCCTCCATCTTGCTCCAGGTTTCCCGACTGAAGAAGGAGCTGCTGGTGTGCAGCGAGGAGAGAGACAGCGCCCAGTTGGAAAGAGACCTCCTCAGCAACCGTCTCAAGCACTTGGACAGCGAACTAGAATCCGAGAAGAGCGCCCACACCGACCGCACCAGGGAGATCAGGGCCCTGGAGGTGAGGCATTCCAGGTCAAAGGTCACAGACAGGGATCTCTAAAGTTGGACTGGAGTGGATTAGGGTGACAGTCTGCCAGCAAACGTGCTGGGTGCAAGGGATGCACAATTGAGATGTAATGTTCCATCCGGGCGTGTGCTCACAGGATAAGATCAAGACCTTGGAGATCGAGCTGGATGAGGAGAAGAGCGGCGTGGAGCTCCTGAACGACCGCATCACGCGTACCAGAGATCAGGTCCCACATGAAATACTCGCATGCACGTGCAAATAAGCCGGAGGCCTTTCTATTTCATAACCGGTCCACTTACACTGCTTCTTCCTTCCTCTGTCCCGTCAGGTGGACCAGCTTCGCTCAGAGCTGATGCAGGAGCGTTCTGCGAGAAACGACCTCGAAATGGACAAGAGCGCACTCGAGAGACAGGTACCGCTCTCTCGTTCCATTCCTGCACATTCACTCAACTGGAGCCACTTTTGGTTAAAATCAGTAGTTCATTCTGTCCCACTCTCCTTCCAGATGAAGGACTTGAAGTCCCGCTTAGTGGACATGGAGGGACCGTCCCGGCCCTCGCCTGCACTCAACCTGCTTGAAAACAAAATTCAAGAGTTGGAGGAGAGGCTGCATAGTGAAGAAAGGTGTGGCTGAAGCAACGTGATGGCAAAAAAAAAAGAATGTCCTACTTTGATTTAATAAAACACCAACAAGGGGCAAGGGGAACACGAAAGGGTGTGAATCAAGAATTGTCTCACACAGGGAGAAGGCCAGCATCCATGCTGCTCAGAAACGAATGGAGAGGAAACTGAAAGAATTGAATGCCACGTTAGACCAGGAGAGAAACCAGCATGTTGAGCAGAGAGATCAGGTAAATATCCATATTTTGCGTGCTTTTTATCTTAAATAGTGTTTATTTTGCTTTTGGTTATTGTTTGACATTTCCTCCCTTTCTTGAAGAGAGTTGGATTGTGGTGTATTTCTCTTAAATATGACATTACGTTCATTTGGCAGATGTCCAAAGCCAATAATGCAAGAAGCATGCAGGAGCCAGATTCTAAAACGGTGTCTCTAAACTACTATTGCGACAAGATGGATTAGATTTCTAATTATTTGTTTCCTGAAAAATTGGAAAAGGCCCCCTGGGTCTGTGCAAATGGAACAAAATCCTCCCTGCACAGTCTACATCTCACTAATATATATATATATATATATAGTCTATTAGTTTTTGTATGTTTTCGACAAATACAGCGTTAGAGATGCATGTTTTTGTTTCCTCTGATTAGAGCCATGCTAGCTGTTTCCAGTCTGTGAGCTAAGCTGCTGCTGATTCCACTCCAGCTACATATTTACCACACCAACACATGCGTCTCCTCTAACTCTCTGTAAGAGGCACATAGGTTCCATGATATTATTGTAATGTCAGAGAGGTGAAATTCTGTAGTAGCCTCAAGTTTCCTGACAATGTGTAATTTTATAGTAAGAACGCTCTCCTGTTTGACCTACACTCGCTGTTTAATCATTAACGCAGTTCAAACGGTGCCTAATTACTTATTTTCCTCAAGACTAAGCTCATCTGAACTTCTCCTGACCCCACACCCAACCTCCCTGACCTTCTTTAGCCTTCGCCTTCTTTATGTGGCTGTGGCCGCTCCGCCCACGGACCCACAAACTTGCCAAACCCCCTCACCTTTGACCCCTGCCTGCCCCGCTTCTTTCCCCCCTCCCCCCCTCCCCCCCTCGCTGCCCACGTCCGCACCCTTGACCTCCTCTGTTCCCCTCTAACCCCCTTGCCTCTCCCCTCTCCGTCCCCAGCTGTCTCTGCGCGTGAAGGCCTTGAAGCGGCAGGTGGACGAGAGCGAGGGGGAGGTGGAGCGCTTGGAGGGAGTCCGCCGGAAGGTCCTGAGGGACCTGGAGGAGCAGCAGGAGCTCCAGGAAGCGCTGCACGCCAAAGTCACAGCTCTTGAGACTGAACTGAAGTAGGACTTGAGTTATTGTCCAACGAAATACTGTTGATTCACTGTTCCCCTTGCAACGTAAGGCATGGCACCGCTTAACAATACCAATGCGTCCTCTCCACACTAGGGGGCAGTCTATAGAAACGAGCTGGACGCGTGCTCGTGTTTGCCGTGCTGCCGCGTTTCTGGAAGTTGAAAGACCTGACTTTGTGTTTCGGTTTGTTTTATCAGGCGCAAGGCCCAGCACGCCCATCGAGCAGCCCTGGGCTCCTCCACTTTGAGCTCCGAGGACGAGGAGGGCTTCTACGACACCAACGTCGCCGAGAGCCACCCGCAGACCAGCGACTGCTGAAAGGGGGATGAATAAAAAGATGCGTTTCATTCCTCCTGTGCAAACACTTTTTAATCAAAGAGGCACTCAGGGCGTCAATTCATCAGCCGCGTGGAGAACTCTGTTGCCATGCACTACAAACTTGCCTTGCAGTTGATCTTTGGTGTTATTTTTAGTACAGCGGTCCAACAGAGACAGGTTGTCAGGATAATTAGATTTTTGCAGTTTTTTTGTTGTTTTCAGCTGTGATGACGATTGCTTCATTGCTGACACGTGTTTTCCATCTGAATAATTGGTTGCACCATGACATGCATAGTTTGATTTCATGTTCTGAATTGTTTCATTAAAGGCTCCTTGCGGTGTGTTCTTTGTGTTCAGTGTGATACACGTTACTGAGGGCAGGGTTTACGTTCAGACTTCATACGGTAGACTCGTAAATTCAAACTATAAGACCAAACAATATTTTGCTATCTGATCCAGTCTATGTTTGCTTGCGCATGATAAGTTACAGCTGTCAGTGTTGTTAGCGACTTAGTGTGTTTTTTTGTGTGTATTCAGAGTGAGGTTATTATTTTATACATTATTATACTTTTTTACCTTTGAATGTGACAATGATAGGCCGCTTCTACTGAGCCTTTCTGTTCACGCTGTATTAGCTGTGCTTCTCCCAACAATCAAATTCAACTCTCGCTTTACACTTTTCTACTTCAACCACCTTGTTGATAGTGTGGTTTGATTCCTGTGCATGTTTTCACTCCGATGCCTTAAAAAGTAGCCGCCTCTCTTTATTTTCTCTTAATGTTCTTTCTGCATGTGGTCTGTTTATATGCTGCTCCTGGAATGCTTTGAGTATTATTTCCTTTTGCTCGCCTGTGTTTTGTCTCTCTTGTTCACTCCTGTTGAAGAGAATCCTGAGCTTACTCTTAAGCGTTCCATATTTCTCTGTCTTGCTCCTGTCTGTGTTTATCCCCTAATGACATTTTGATGGTGGGGTATTAACAGGCAAGGACGCTATGAAATGTAGAATGTTAAGTTGCTGGTGATGTTTTTGACAAGTAACTTAAGTACACTGTTGAACTGGGTGTGCAATTAAAAAAGAGTTATTGTGTATTTACTTCCTTATCTTTCTGTTTATGATCTCACAATATTATTAGTATAATAATCTCTTGAATAGAAGAGTAGATGCCCCTTATAATGACCTTTAGTACACAGCCTATACATCTTTAAATGTTAGACTGAAAACATTTCCCACAGTTTGAGCGCTGCTGCTGTGCTGTTGTCCTGCCTGTGCTTCAGGTTTCTCTCCACTGTTAATCACACCAGCCTTCCTTCTACTGTCCAATGGAATCCCTGCATTCATACCTAGATTACACGGGACACTTATCGTACTATGTGGAGATGAATAAAACAAACATTACGCTGCTAAATCTAAACAGGGAAATTCATGCTTGTACGTTATCTGTGCACTAGTTGGTCACCTTCTGTTTATTGTCAGTTGCTGCTAAGCATCAGACACAAAGAGCGAGACAGATGTTAAAAACGATCAGACTAACAGGACTTATATTCACAAAACCTGCAGTGGAAGTTCAGTAATGAAACTGCTTAAAAAATAACTTGACATAAAGAGTGAGTGTTTGGTTCCTTTTAAATAGAATATCCTGCCCCAGTGTTGTTGCAACGTGCCTCAGTAACAAGTCCTGTGTTCTTTTATCTCTGGCTTACTTTTACCCCCTTAGACAAATAGCCTGTAATCCAATGTTGGTTGACTATAATTACTGAGGACATCAGCTGTAATCACGACTCCACCTCACCCAGCGCTCCTGTCTTTGTCCGCCGTCTCTCTTGTTTCCCACCGTGCGGACTTTCCTTTTCTTGGTGTTTGACGGAGTCTCTGTTTTTATAATAATACAATATTCAATGACAAATCGATATTTTTCTGATGTGATGTCCGTCTTTCCATCTAACAGGGACACTAAGCGTCTAATTACACCCATGTTTGTAACTCAGAGCCATCAAGGATGGATCTTCTCAACTGCTCTATTGGTGCTGTTGAAATACGTGATGTGCTAAACAGTGAGAATCACTGTCTGATTTTGTCATTTTGCGTGGTAAACTTCACGACATTCAAGTCTTTCGCCAGATAAGATGTACTTATGAAACCTTTGCACAGTGTACAAAGTAACAGAGGCCGCAGTTTTAATCTAGTGGTGCTGCGTGTTTTCTCTAAACGAGCGTGTGTCATACTTGCCAGTCCTGCCTAGTCTTTAAACCCCAATAGTTGTCTTAAACAATACAGACGCAGTATATTTCCTGCAGGTAATTGAATTTAATTGACACAGAGTGAATCCTTCTTTGTTTGGGTGTCACAGGACAAATATCTCCTAAAATAATGGAAGTGATGTCTGGAATCAAGACGTAAAACGTAATTCTATGAGATGAAACAGCGAGCGCTCTAGTATGCTCAAAGGTAACAGACTCTCATTCAACTTCATGCCACGCCTGTCTGAAACCATAAGTCAAGCAACAACAGGGAGCTACAGGCAAAGTTAAACCAACACGTGTCAGCTTGAATCTGTGCTCATAACTTCTCAATGGATTACTGTCCATTGAATCTATTAAATAAAATCATCAAACATTGAAAACATTAAACATTTTTCCAATACCAAAGCGTTGTTTCGGGCACCACTTGTTTCTCAATGGTTTAATTTGTTATTCAATAAAGACATTAATCATTAGTCATTCTATCGGAGACCAGCAGGACGCTTTGTGCCCTCACAACATGCTTCAAGCCGCGTGCCACCGAAAGCAAATGAGATAATGAGCCGGTGTAAGTGGCACCACAGCGATCCTGCATGTGACCCCAACTGTTATCAAACAGGACTACATTCTATTTGCGGCTCGGGCGCTGAATTAGCCGCAGAGCAAAGGGAGTCCTTTGATGACAGAAAGTCGGGGAGACGTTGGAGTGTCGAAGTCTGATGTCTGATGGAGATAGACGGCAAATGGGGTCACTGTGGAAGAAGATCCGGCGGGTCACTGAAGACAAAATGCTGTTTTTCAGCGGCACTCAAACCAGATGTCTGACGGACGGAGACGTCGTCAACTCCTCTGAGGTCAGACACAGTTTATTTGAGTGCACCAGTCATTACCATCCATATATATCCCAGGATTAATAGGGTTTACTCATCTCAGTCTCTGCCTTTAATTTATACAATATATGACTGAGGGATACTTGCAATCAACAAAAAGCATTTTAGGCTTCTGGGCACCAATAAATGACCTATTCTGAATTCTATTCCATCGCTAGCTTTTTTAAATTAATTAATTACTACATTATAACATCATACACAATATCTGATAAGATATTAAGACCATATAAGGTTCCATTTAAATCATCTCCAGCTTGACAATTTATTGTTTCAGTAGTTTCAGGTAGGCAGGCATTGGAATTTAATATAAATACAGGGAGAGAAACAAACAAATAAACAAACAAAAGCTATTATCCCATAATCTATAAATGACAGCTACACACTGGCCTCCCTTCAGCGTGCCACATGTATTCTATATGAACAGAGCGGATACATGAAAAGGATAAAAGAAACATTGTAAATGATTTAATCACAAAGATAAAAAAAGGTTTGGACATGCTTCTGCTTCCTACTTTTATGAATTTTCACTGGTTCCAAAAATACGTTTATGGTGACTCTGCCCCACTTGTTTAAGATAAGATAAGGTAAGATATTCCTTTATCAGTCCCACAAAGCAGTTTCTTGTTACTGCGCTCGTCTCCTGGATTCACAATGTTTGCAGCATAAGTAAGAGGAAGTGAAACTAAGAGAACAAATTAGTTCGGCCCCTTTGACATGAGAATTATGTGAGATGAAATGCGAATATTCTCACCAAACACATGACGACTGAACATTGTCTCATTGCGATGTTTTCATACGGTATGAATGTCATTTGGATTTCTCTGCGTCATACCAATACACCTATTTTCTTCGTCTTTGTCTTTACAACCTTACAAACCCAAGTGTGTTATGCTTCTGATTTTATTAATTGAACACTGTGACATCATTCCGTCATCGAATGCCTGAGGGTGTGGCTCAATCACACGAATGCTATTCAAAAGGCAATTATATTATTACCCTCTGACACTAAAAGTAATGCCATTGGATTCTGTGTCCTGAACCAAATGCCTCTTGAATGTAATCGAGTATTATAATAACTATATAAAATAGCAGGTTAGACCGCTTGATAACACAAACAGAACCACTTGTTGCACAAGTTGAACGTCACTTCTCGTTGACATTTCCCACAGTGACCGTTCATGTGTCACTGTTTACGTGCCACTTTCACTGGGACCTCTGTGTGCCTGTGTGGAGCCCGAAGGTCACTGTGTGCAACACAAAGGCTACGCGTCGTCGTGCTTGCTATGGAGGACAAAAAAATCACTTAAGTATAAAGAAATAAAGAAATGTAGGCAAACAGAAATTTAGAAATAAATATATGATATTTGTTTATGACCTGTTTGATTATCAACTTTGATTTATTTATGGATACATTAATTTACTTTCCATATTCATTTCAGCATTTATGTACTTCTGTATTTATTTATTCATTTATTTACGCATTTATTTATTTATTCCTGTATTTATTTATACATTATTCATTTATTTATTTATACTTCCAAAGTCATTAGTCACTAAGTCATTTTTTGTCCTTCATATTGCCGGTTGATATCAAAATGAATTTGCCGAAACAAGTCAAATCTGAACCTCCTTCAGATGTTGTTACGGGTAAATTAATAATGATTCCATTCAGACATAAATAACTCTAATTAACTCTAAAGTACCAAGTATCTTAGTTAACTAAATAGAAATATCTTCTTATGATTGGCAGTCAAAGAATCTTTTTTTTTTTTCTTGTTTCACCAATCTCATGTGGTTGTGTAAAAGACTCTTTGACGTTTGATCCAGAAAACTCAGCTGAGCTGACGCTTTTATCCAAAGCGACTTACAATAAGTGCATTCAACCATAGGGTACAAACTCAGAAGAGCAAGAAACAAGAAAGTGCAATTTCCTCAAATAAGCCAATTTACAATTTGCTATAGATAGCGTTATAAGTACAATTTAAGTGCTACAATTTATTAGTCTATTAGTCGAGGTGGAGTCTGAAGAGGTGTGTCTTTAGTTTGCGGCGGAAGATGTGAAGGCTCTCTGCGGGCCTGGTGTCTTCAGACACCAACGTTTAATGTATCTTTAACAAAGTGGCATACATGTGAATTGTCAAATAAAAGGTGAAACTTGAAAGCACTTTTTATCGTGTTAGAACTAATTCACAGCCCTAAACCATTGAGTCACTGTGTGTTATTTAACAGCACATCGACACATGAATCAGCAGCAGGATGTTGGCATGAGGGAACAGATCCTCTGTTTATACACAATTGTGCCTCAAATGTTCAAAACCCATATTTGGCAGCTTGCGGCTCTGATGGTCTCTGGCCGTGCTCGGGGGGAGGGGGGGGTCCATTTCATTGGGCTGTAAATGAGTGTAAGTTATGACTAAGAACGGGACTTCAGTTCACGGCACACAGCAATGAAGAAAGCTGTAAACATAAACTTGGGACTTGTTTGCTTCAAAACACGGTTTCTGGGAAACATTATTGTGCGTGCTCCCGTAGCGTGTGAACACGCCGAGAAAGGCAACAATAACATGTTTATTGAAATAGCTCAGCTTGATTCGTGTGACCTTTTGCCAACTTTGGGGTTTACTTACATTGCGGCAGTAGAGAGATCCACTCTGAGCGTTGTTACGTTCCATGTTTTGCACTGCTCACATATCAACAAGAGGATAAACAACTATTAAATATCTACCAAACAAGTGCTGACACACCAAGTTATTCTCCCACTGGTTTTCCTGATAAAACAGCTGATGCATCTTTTTCCATATTGACTTTGGGCTTTTGAAAAACAAGAAACAAAGTTTTCTACACTCGCATCGTGTTGTGTAACAGGCGTAAACATGCTGGTTTTCTGGTGTCCTGAACAAACTGCACCGTGAGAGCAAGTTTACAAAGAGGGAAACATTCGATTTTAGATTGTGTCGTGGCTGCAGACTTGACGTTTCCAGACACACACACACACAGGAGCACTGACATGTTAGGACTGCGGCATCTGACCTTTGTTTGCACAGTTTTGTTTACACTGACTGTTAATTTAATGTCATTAATCCCTCTCGTGTACCTCGCAGCACGCATTCCTCAGGGTGCTGCTACCTACTGGCACCGTGTACCAGACACATGAAGTCATCTTCAGCCACAGTTTTACGTATTGGTCACTTATTGTCTGACTAAATATTAGTATTATTATTGCATATTTGAATACAATAATAGGTATGATAGTTGAGCGTGGACACTCATTTACTCATGTATTTATTCATAAAAGCCTAGTTCCAGTTCAACTTTCACGCAGTTTGGATTCACCATCGAGGAAACAAATGTTCCCTTTTTCTTCATGCATTCATTTTCCTCTGTAGTCCTGCAGGGGCGGCTAAGAACCATGCGCCTGCTTGTCCCTCCCCCCCCCCCCCCCCGCGGCTCACCCACAAAAAAACAATCTGGAGGGAGGAAAAAAGGGTTGGGCCGCTGGTGGAGCCTCACCCAGCCATGTAAGGCAAGACGGCTTCCCACACTCTCACTCCCACAGTGACGGATCACAGCTGCCTGAACATCATCGGAACGAGTCCCCGACAGCTTCGTCCGCCCAGGTAGATACCACAGGGACAGAGAGGAGGGCTTTCATTTGGGTTCCTGCGCGGTGATGGGGGGGATGGTACCTGCGGGTGTAGTTTGTTCTGCTTCACTGTGTGGTTTGCTTTAATCATTCCTCTGGGTGTTCACTGTGTACTTACTTGACTAAAGATAAAGGGCTGGTTTGCCACACGCAGATTAAATCCCTCTAAAGAGAAATACTTAAAAATATCAGACACAAAAGAGACATTACTTCATCTTTATTGATTATTTAAACATTTTGGACCTTGTCTTGGGTCATCACAATGAGCGGGTTCCTGTCCTTTACATTTTATTTGACACAAACACAGAATGCAACCGTTACCTTTGACCCTGTCAAGACGAAGGCCGTCTTTAAAACTTTTTTAGAGACACTTCCCATTCATAAGTTAGTAAGTAAGTGTGAGTGACTCAGTTGTGTTGAATGGTGACACATACTGTTGCTATTAATGAGAAGAGAAGAGGTCCTAATCATATTGTGTGATGGATCAGGGCGGGACTCTCAGCTACTTACCATTTGAACTCTTTTATGGCTTATTTTCTCAATCGCAATGTTGTTTGGTTGTTTGACTAAAAGATGGACGGACTTCACGCTCCGCTGTGATCTTTGTTGGCACTTGGGAAAGGAATGCAGATACTGATGTCGGTGCATAGAAGGATCCCGCCCTTTCGACTTTCTAAGCTGGTTAGAAAGATTTATGCGATAGATTTATGGCGATGTTGTGTGTTCATTGTGTGTTCTCCGCTCAGCCTGTAGTTCAGCTGAGCACAACAATTCTCTCTTCTTTTTAGAGGAGCTTGTGGCTCAATAAGTGGAATTGGATGGCCGTGTATTGATTGTGGGAGGCTACTGACTGGTATGAGGAGGCTCTTGTAGCCCTGACGCAGAGGCAAAGCAGTGGCGCTCCCTCTCACATGAGTGACAAAATGAGGCTTTGGAGTTTTAAGAAATAATTATGTGCGTTTTTGACCATTTTGGACCTTTTAATGACAAATTAAAAAAAAGGTTCAAGAAACCTTCGAAATGACAATAAAAAGAGTTAAAAAATGTATTTATTGCAGCATTAATGCACTTGACTTATAATTTATATATCTTCATAGTAGTAAAAATGTGCAGATATTGCCCTGCTCTGTTCTGCTACTCTGTTACGTCAGAGAACAAAAAGAGCTTCTGAGGGGCAATAAAACAACCGTAATGGAACCAGACCTCAGTTAATGATGTTGATATCACTGTTAATCTAGAGATTGATATGGAATGAGCTGATAAGTGCATGTGCTACTTGTGTCCTATAAGAGATACGGAAAACACAGCCAGGGATACAATT